ATGCCTTGTCCAGATCTTCTGACTACTTGAGCCGTCTCGCGATCTTGTGTCCAAAATCCTTTTCCTTTGTTGTGTGGCTGCTACCCTAGCAGTTGAGTTGAGTGTGAGTACTTGATCGATCCGGGCCAGATATCCCGAGATCACTCTTCTCGATCTTGGCAAACAATCAAAGATCGGTCTTCTGTGTCCCTGCAACACGCGTGCCTTGACCCGCCGGGGAAGCCAAATCAATCTTGCCCGGAGAAGAGTGGAGGAGAACGTGTGTCGTGAGTAGAAGAAGTAGTGTTCAAGTCTGTTTATTTACCAACCAAATTAATCGCCAACCTACCATTAAGCCTATTCCCAAGTATAGGTCACTCTCCAAGTCGGTATCACCTTTAAGCTTGACCGCCCCCTTGAACACGTGTCGAACTTTCATGACCTGTACTCCAAAGATAGCGCCAATATCCCCGCTATCGTACCTAAACGCCAAAAGAGGACCAAATCCCAAGTGTGGTACCAAATACCCATTTTTTGGTACCCAAAAGCCCTAAATAATACCCAAATGCCGAATGTGTCTAAATCCCTTTTGCGACGTCAATTCAAACGGCTTCCACTGGCTCTTTCGATCTGAACTTTTGGTACATCACTCATGGACCTACATCAAGCATGTTTATCACGATTCAATAGCTCCATCACCGATATATCCATAGTCAACAGGGACCATGACCGATCTGATGTCCAATTCGAGATTGTTGAAGATCGACACCGTGCGATCCGGTCATATGTGTTCTTCCGTCCATTGAGCGTACTCCGATACCATCTTCAAGGGTTTATCTGCTCAATAGGACCATCCATAGTTCTCACAACGGTCCCACGGACTCCCACAAACATCCACAATTCCAGATCGGGCCATAATCAACCTAAATCAGTACTCCCTCTGGGAGACCGGTAAAGAGTGTCACCGATCTGCAGGATGTTACACCTTCGTCACAGAGTCATATCACATCACCTGGTCCCAGATTCTTGTCCCAGATCGCTCCATGGAAATCTTCTATTTGTCGTCTTGTCCCAGATCGCTCCGTCTCAGTTCAATCCATATCTATCAGTCTGGTAACAGTTGGACCAGATCGCCGATCCCCGTTGAGATCGTTTTCCACCTCCTCAATGGATCGCCAGGTCTCATGGCCTTATTTTTCACCAGTAAGTGACACCTTAACTGGGTGGCCACCGATCCACGTCCCATCATTTAATTAGTGACTTTACCACATTACTGTCAAGGGGGAGATGACGTTGGAGATCAAAAGCGGTCGCGATCAGGTTGGTGTGTACCACACCGGGCGATCCGCGATCAACGAGACGATTGCAATCAAGGAGAAGATCATGATCGTAACTGGCGATCAGATATGTGATCGCGATCAGGTAGGTGTGTACCACACCTGTCGAACCACGATCAGCAAGGCGATCTTGATCAGCAAGGATGTGGTCAGCAAGGAGATCGTGATCAAGGATGCGATCGCGATCATTGAAGCAATCAACATCGTGATCGGCGATCAGTTATATGATCGCGATAGAGCTAGTGGGGGTTGCACCATACGATCGGCGACCAGAAAGACGACTGCGATCGGACAAGTATATCAAGTGTGTGCCACGCAAGTACAAGATTGCTACCTTCTGGAAAGAGCAACATGTGGCATGCGATGCATACGGTATAAGGATAGGGATAAGGTTGTTGGGTTTGATTGTTTAACATTAAACAGAGTTCAATTTGCTTCTAAGTACACGTGTCGACTTCTCTTCCGGGTTGGATCATTGGCCGCCCGACGTCAAGAAAAGTTACATACTTTAATCAAGTGATATCCCTGGATTGTTTGGCTAGGGATCAAGAACTCTCAAACAATACACCAACTGCGACTGGACGCAGGAATCCCTGTGTGGTTGAGGACCCAAGATCGCGAGGCGGCGTAAGTGGTCAGAAGGCTCGCGAATCAAGGTCTACATTTGGACAAGGCGATCTGTTAAAGATCAGGGCGACTCACATCGAACACCCTACAAGTAGACAAGTGATACCGTGAAGGATCCACGGGATCAAGTCAACCCGGATCGTGGTGTGAAGACTTCCACACCGAGATCGAACCTCGACCCCATCGCAACCACGGTCAAGTTTTCCATTGACACGTGTTCACCTGGAAGAGTGCAACCCGCCCCACCGACGAGTACACAAAGTGAGGAAGGCTATCAAGAACACGGTGTCGAAGTACCCCCTCCGTTAGTCGGTCGTCTAGGCGCCAGTGGATAATTGGTATCGACTCCTTAAAAGAGCGGTTACTATTTCTTTAGACCTGCACGACAATCTCCACATTATCAACTGACAGACTCTGCATGAAGACTGCAGCAACTAAAATGACTTCTTTATGCAGAGTCTGTGACGACGAATCGTCGCCTGAATTGCCACTCTATCGCTACCTACACCGACGGATTGTAGGCCGATGCCTTAAGTACTCACGCACACTGAACTTGCAGAGGATGGCTAAATTTCGTAAGCGATCACGTGAGGAAAAAAGTTGAGCTATATCTGTGATATCGAGAAAAAGATTGTGCTGTTAATACGCCAATCGGGCAATCCTCGACGAGTCTCCCCTCGACGAGTCGGAGGTGTGAAGATCTTTCATCATTTGACGAAGAGTTTGTACATAGGTGACAAGAGGGGGAAGTAGCCATAAGTGTATCCCTCACTGAAAGAGAAAAAGAGATAATCAATATAGAGCAGATCTTTAAGTCTTAGACACGCGTAAAATTTCACGGTAAGTCCCTGCGCGGGCTAGATTATGCTTGTAGTCGAACCATGGGAGGCATAGCTTGTAGAGCTTTCGACTGGTAGCGTTGAGTGGTAAAGTCGGCCCAGATTGGTCATCGCTACCAGCGCACGTTAAGACTTGTCGAGTGGCAAGCCGGTGACCCAGTAGACGGCATTGTTTATGTCTTGTCAATTATACTAAGCCGGTCAACACGATTGGAGGGATCGTTTAAGACTTGTCTAGTGACAAGTTGGTGGGCCTCAGCTGATGGTACCGTAAATCTATTAGTCGGGTGTACACTGCACCCGGTGACCTGTAAAAGCGCTTAAAGCATCGGCTTCTACCCTTTGGTGTGAAGTCACACGAGATGAAGGACGATGCTGAGCTCAGGAAGGCTTTTGGAGCTTTCGTTGCGACGAATGTGTTGGGCGAAAGCCACAACTAGACCCGAAGGGGCAAACCGCGAGGTACATTGTTGTATCATAACGCTACAGCTCAACTCGCCGACATACGTCGGCGATATTGTTGTGTTGATGCGTTGATAGTGTATTATTACAATTTTACTAGTTACCAATCAACATTTCTAATTTAGTTCATGTCTCTAAATAATGTTTCCGTCGATCTCACTTCAGCTATATGAAGTACAAAGTCCAGATATAGCTACCCGCTCACCACCGATCGCGCGCGTCTCGCAGTGATAGGTGGTAGATACAATGGCCTACGTCGGCCAATAAGTCGAGCGCTACTGTATGTTACCCTCGAAGGTAACATTCGATTTTAATATTACTTGGTAAGATAAATACTGGAGAATATGTTTACTCAAGATTCAGTATTCACGTTGACCCAATCTGGTGTTGACATACATGTAGCAGCTCACCCCGTTACATATGGCCCATATCGTCAGCAACAGAATCCACCGTGTCTCAATGGTGCGCAGTATGGCACGGCTGCAGCATCTAATGTAGCAATGTATTAAACCTCTGTTGCCCAACGAGGTCAAGACCTAGTCGTCGAAGCACGCCCGACCATCAACACCTATGTATGCTATGTACAGTCGATCGTATCAAATTGACACGATATCAAGCACCTTACATAGCAGCCCTTTGCCAAGGCGACAGCCAAACTAGTCACATAAGTAGACGGCTTACCTCAGACTTTGCAAGAAGGAGGAATTGCCAAACTAGAAAAGCGATACTTTGCTGTCTTTTGACAATCTCCGAACCGGTTGTGGAGTCACCACAGCGCAATGACAAAGTAAGTGGCTTGGGTCAATCATCACATAGTACTCAAGCAGCTCAAGCTTTACTGTCTCGATACTAAACTCAACATCAGCAGTCGGAAACTCTCGGTACGCGGGGGTCAACATTAGACACGAGCTCACTTTTTTGGATGTCTCCAACTGCACGATGGTGCTGACATGAGGTCACGTCCATCCGGGCGGACCAGACTGGACAGCCCAGGAGTGCTCTGCAACATGCGAGCTGGTATATGACAAGAGTCCTTTGAGTGCATCACAAGTAATCTGCCACGTTTGAGCATAGCGAGCGACTGGAGAAGATACGGAAGCGTGACAAGCAATGGAGTCGACTAGGGTGGATCCGGTGCCATCTTAGTATGTCGACCATACGATCGTAACTCAGGACCGGAGGCTTCCGGAGCAGACACAAGTCACGCTATAGCAAGTGTCGAAGAGTGTAAGCAAAGCGGACCTTGTTAAAACAAGACACAACAGCAGTAGTGACTCGAAAGCGCAGAAACAAGCAATTGAGAGTGCGTCTGTACGTAACATGATGATGACCGTCATCATATTGTGTCGTGAGTATGCCATTTGACCTCAAGACCGTCCGACCCTGACGTTACAGACCTGGCTCTATTCAGTCCAGCCCTCTCTCGTACAAATACAGTGTTGTCCAAAACTCGACACGGTCATTCGCTCATTTTGCAACTGCAGATCCTTTTTTGCTCGGCTCTTTCTCTGTCACGCTCCATTTTTGTGATACCGGAGACCCCGTCGATGACTTTTTCTGTCACGCTCCATTTTTGTGTTATCTGAGACCCCGTCGATGACTTTTTCTGTCACGCTCCATTTTTGTATTATCTGAGACCCCGTCGATGACTTTTTCTGTCACGCTCCATTTTTGTGTTATCTGAGACCACGTCGATGACTTTTTCTGTTGTGACCTTTTGGAGTCGCTGTTTGTTTGTGTGCTCCAAACAGAACCAATGGAGACGGCAGCAAAGGCGTTCGAGCAGCACGTGGAGCTGGACGAGGGCGTACTGGCCACCTCAGCGCCACTCGAGACCATTCAGTTAGGCCGCGTCATTCTGCATGTGCGTGCGACTTCTCGTCTTGTCTCGTTGAGTGTTTGTCGCTATCGCTGTGTGTTTCTATGTGTGGTAATGTCTGACTCAACAAAGGAGACGCTGATTATTGACACGTGAGGCTGTTGCACGCAGGTGAGCGAAGGGCTTGTCAAGTCTCCGGAACTGAGTCAGAAAACGCGCAATGTGCAGACGCAGCTGGTGGATAACAAGTGAGTGTCGGGAGCGAGGAGAGCGTTTTGTCTGTCCCTGTGCTGGTCCGGTCGAGTGTCTTACTTTGGGGTGTTTTTCTGATTGACTTTGGCTGGCATAGAGCCATTGGTGCTGCATCTGCTATCGGGGAACTGCTGTCTCTGCTCAAGGACAACAAAGAGGCGCTTGAGTACTTTAAAGGCAGCATCGTACGAGGTGCACCGAGCTACTGGTGGTGTTTGTTGTCGACGACTTGCTCATAATCGGATGTTGGTGTTCTCTGTAGTCTTGACTGGCCAGACGCTGCCATCGCATCCTCCAGTCTTTGGTGGCACAACACCCGAGTCTGTCAGTGACGTGGTAGAGGTGCAGGTGACGGCGATGGCGGGTGAGACAGTGGCGACACCTGTGGCATCTGCTGATAAAGAAGTGTTGGGTGGAGAAAAAGCGGCGCCAATTGTTGGCAATGAGACAGGTAGTGCTCGCAAGCACTCTCTTGAGAAGGAAACGACGACGACTGAATCGGAAGCAAATTGCAAGCGGCTCAAGACAGGCAACACCGAGTCGGCTACGAACAACGATGCAGCCCTTCCGCTAAGGACAGCGTTGGCGGAAGAGACGAAATATGACTCTGAGGAGGCCAAGGCGCGTGCTACTAACCCGGTGCACACGATCCCGACTCAATGGGAGCACCTGTATTACAAGCAGGTGGAGGTGATCAATGTGAGCAACCGCCTGGCGAAAGAAAAGGTCCAGGCGAAGCGCTTTGCGGGTGAGCCGTTCTTGCTAGAGGGACACGCCGGCTGGCTAAAGCTTGCGCACGGGTGGGTGAAGCCGGACGGTACGCTGGACACTACAGCATTTTTGCATGGCATTCACGACGTGAAAGTGCCGGTGCTGGAGCGCAACTACGAGGAGCGACGACCCATCAAGACGCATTTGCCGCTGAGCTACTACGTCAAGAACTATTGGGAGCACGGCAAGTCAGATTACTACTTGCATCAGTGGCAATTTCCTCTGGACCCGAAAGCCAGCTCACTGCTTCGCGACAAGAGCGAAGAGTTGCCTGTGCTCGGGGACAATCTGCTGCAGTATTGGCTGGACGCCGTGCGTGGTGATAACCCGCTGCAATACCTGTTCATGGGCCAGAAAAGCACAATGAGCCGTATGCACTCGGATCCGGGTGGTTTGGGTATCACCATTGCTCCGATCATTGGTACGAAACGTGTTACGATGCTGCACCGCGATGCAGCCAAGTTAGACTCTGTGCATGAATCCGTGAACTTTCACGACATCGACTTAGATAAGTCTCCTCAACTGGCCTTCCTGCCAGCATGGCGGGTCAGCGTGAAGCCAGGGCAGATTTTGTACATGCCGGAGAGCACGTTGCACTCGTGTGAGAACGTCACAGCGTGCTTGTCGTACCACCGTTTCCACCTCGACACGGTGAACCTCACTGGTTTTCTACGGTCATTTCTGGCGCAGGATTCACCGTCAATCAATCACGCCGAGATACTCTGGAACGCTGCGCACGATGTCATGTCTGCGATCGAGAACGCATATCAAGCCAACGACGAGGTCCTCGACAATACGGTCGTCACGCTGCGGAAGCTGGATACGCTGCGTGGCTTGCGCCATGCTTGTCGTATGCTGTCCTTGGAGCAAGTGTTGCCAACGGAAGACTCGTGGGACTGGAAAAAGCTTCTGGACGACATTGACCTCATGCTGATGCGCGTTGACCCCAGCGCCAAGTTGAAATTGACGACGACCTTGGCACAGGGTTCTTCTGTATCCGGGAAAGCTGTAGATGGTCTGAATGGCGAGGAAGCAGCCAGAGCAAAACAAGTTGTTGAAGCGGCAGCAAACAAGAAGAAGCTGTTCCAGAGCAAGGTGGCAACAACAGCCGCAAACGCTCACTGGGACTCGCTGAATCTGAAGGTGGGAGACACGATTGGCGTGCAGGTTTTCGAGAAGCGCAACCGTGCGGAAGTGTTGAAGGTGGTCCACGACAAGGTGCTAGTGCAGATCCACTATTCTGACTGGGAGTCCATCTACGACGAGTACCTGCCAGTATCGTGTCTCTTTCAGCGCAAGAAGGGAAAGAAGGTGGCATTGAAGAAGACACCTGAAGTGGACGAGACAGTGATGGCACGCTGGGGCAGCAAGGGTGATCTGTACAACGCCAAGGTGCTAAAGGTGGTTCGCACGAACGCTTGCTACGTGCACTACCTCAAGTACGAGAAGGACTGGGACCAGTGGATCCTGCCCGGCCACATCTTCCGCAAGTATCCTGACCCCTGAAGACTGCGGTGACTCGTGGCGTCGATCAGGCAAGTGCAAGGGTGAAAAGTATGTGCCTAACATGTCCGTGTGATATTGTGAGCATGCAAGGTATCCATCCGCAGAGGCTGCAAGAGGTACTTGCAGTGTTCGTACAAAGCAAAACTAACCGATGAATACGTCTCAGCCCACCTATCTTGTTGTTGCGCGGCAAAGCTCGTTGTATACCAATCTACCGACGCGCTGTCAGCTGGCAATGGCAGCGTCGTGGTCCAAATTGCGCCGAGCCAGACGGGTAGCGTGCACCATGGCGCAGAACACAACGTAGCTGGCCACGAAGGTATAAAAGCCGAACGCCGAGATAATGGCCACGATCAGTACGATGGCAGCATACCCCAACGTGCGCTGCAATCGACGACCCCAGACGGTCGAGGCGCTCACAAACGGCAGGTCGTAGCAGGCATAGTGACTGGCGTCCCACGTGCTGTCGCAGACCCAGCAGTACTCGAACCGACACCGCGTGCACGTCATGTGGTTGCAGCCTTCGTTCTTCCAGATCCGCATTTGGCAGTGGGGACACGCTCGCACGGCCCTTTGCTTCCCGACCGACGCTTCCCACGCCAGATACGACTTGTCTTCTTCGCCGCGACAGCACCAGAACCAATGTGCATGGCCACGGCAACGAAAGCAGCCGACGGTCGCGCATTTCGGACAGGTAAAGTCGTCCGACGTTTCGCAAACAATGAGCTCGTCACAACCTGGTCGAGGACACCACCGCGCGCTCGGGTTCTTCTCGTCCTACGCACACACGCAGGAACAAACGCACCTGCACGTCAGTCACAGGCACATCGTCCATCTCGCAATCGTCCGTTCAACACGGCCCACAATGCTGCATCGACGTACTCGCTGCCGCTGCAACACCGCTCGATACCGAGTCCTTCCTGTCTGCCCGACACTGCGCAGGAGGTCGTCCTCGCTGATCTTCTGCTTACAGGTCACCACGGGACACACGAGATGGTCTACAACGCAGCAACGACCGCAACAGCAGCAATAGCAGGTCAGGGACTTACTCACCGTCTTCTCTCTAAAGTCGACACCCCTTTGCGCCATCTTTGACCCCCACCGCACCTTCGTCGACTTCTCGCGCCTGGATCTTCACCTCAATGTACCTCCGCACGCACACTCCACCAGCCACAACGACCGTAACGCACGAGAGAGCGAGAGCGAGAGAGAGTCAACAAGACGGACGTCAGTCCAAGCACGGAAACAAAACACGCGCACACGACGCAGCGCGAGCCCGTCGTGTCGTACCCGCACAAAAGCGATGGCGGCAGTGCAACTTCACGTGCGCAGCCTCTTCGTCTTCACTCGCCACGTCGCGCAGCTCCAGCACAGGCACATTGTCGAGACAAATCGGACAGAGCGGTGGCGCAACGAGCGTCGCCGCCAGCCGTCGGCAGCCACGCACAAAGCCGCGCAACACAGTCATGTGCGACTCGTCAACTGACCCGTCAACCGAATTAATTGCCAACTGATCTGTCAACTGATCTGTCAACTGACTTGTCAACTGACTTGTCAACCGACCGGTCAACTGACCTGTCAACCGATTTGTCAACAGCTCCGAAAGCGTCCGACAGAGTTTTTTCCGGTCGCGTCCGCCGGAGGGGCACAGCTCCGACCGCCGGTCCGACGACCCGTTCGCATCTCGCGATTCCCCCGATCGCCCCCATGACCGCCGCCCGCTGGAGCCCGTGGCCGCTCGTGCTCCCGTTCGTCCCCGCAGCTGCGACTGCGCTCCTCCAGAGCGAAGACGAGCGCCAGCGCCTGCGCGCGCTCCTCGCGCAGACGGCCGCCACGCACGCAAAGCTCGCGCTGCTGTGGCTCGTGCGGGCCGTCCAAGTCGGGGCCGGCCTCGCAGCGCTCGTGGGCTCGGCCGCGGTGCTCTACGCACTGCTGTACGCGCTCGTGATGCCCTCGCGCTTCCACGACCAGGAGGTCTTTTTCGACTATGGCCCGCGCCACGCTGCGGTCACACAGCCGCCGGACGGCTGCGCGGTCCCCAGCGCGTCGCTCGACTTGCACGACCCCGTGCACCAGTGGCAGTCGCTGGTCGGACCGACTCGGGCCACGCCGGCGGCAGTGCTCGTCCCGGGCGTCACGTACGACGTGATGCTCGAGCTGACGCTGCCCGAGTCCCGCGCGAACGCAGAGGTCGGCGTGTTTATGGTGGCCACGTCGCTGTGGGACGCTGCGCAGCAGACGCAGCTCGCGAGCAGCGTGCGGCCGCTCATGCTCCGCGACCTGCCGGCGCCCGTGCGCTGGGTGCAACTCGCGTGGTGGCTCGTGCCGTACGCGTTGGGCGTCGCAGAGCCCGTGCAGACGCTGCGCGTCATGGCGATCAACGGCTATGTCGAGAGCGCGGCGTTCCCCGTGACGCGCGTGGACATTGAGTTGAACACGCCCAAGGTGCAGGTGGCAGCGGCCAAGCTCACGGTCATTGCGCAGCTCACGGGCGTGCGCTACTTGATGTACCATTGGGCCGTGCCGACGGCTGCGTTGTTCATTCTGAACATTGCGTTTGTCGAGCTCGTGGTGCTCGTGGTGCTCTATGCTGTCTACGTGCTCCCCCAACTGGACGGAGATGCGGCGGACGTGACGGTGCTGGAAGTGGCGGCTGCCGATGCCGCTGTGCTGGAAGCGGCTGCTATCGAAGCGCGTGACAAGGCGAAGCAGATGGGGGAGAAGCAGGCGGCAGCGAAGGCTGCCGAGACGGATGTTGCGGCGAAGAGTGAGGGGCTGAGCGGCGGAACGTCATGTGTGGACGAGGGAGTGCACGAGTCGTCGACTGACGGTGCAAAGAGTTTCAAAGAAGAAGAGATGGGGGCGAAGGAAGAGCGTGTGGACGAGCTGTTCTAGTGCGGGACAGCTCTGCTATGAAGCAGAAGCGAGCGAGCGCATGGTGAGTGGCTGGCTGCCCTGTGCTTGTGTGTGTTCTGCGCGCGCTTCTTTCTACTACCCAATGAAGTTACAATGCATTCCACACGCTAAGCGGTAACCGCTTCGGAAGGCCACGTGAATATCGATCGGCACCTTTGTCGGAATGAAGAAGCTGAGGTCGAGCACAATGACGTCTATGCAGCAACAAGTCCTGTTTTCTCTTGACCAACACTTCTTCCCACAGGTAACAACGATACGCGTCAAAAGAGCGACAAGATAGCAGCAAACCACCGCATGCAAAAAGTGATCAGGAACGCCGATAAGATGTACCCGTGAAGCGGTCATCGAAAGCTGTGCATCGGCTCAAGACTGAACACGCATTTGTACAGCGTATCAACTTTTTTACGCAACCTACTTACAGTGCACTTTGCCTTACGTCATTGTGACCAGCACGAGCGTAAGATGTAAACAGGTGGTGTGACCGCTACAACTTCCAGCTGGAATGGCAAATGTGTGAATGAGTTCGTTGAGATTCATCATCATCATTGCCACTCGCGGGAGCAATGTGTACGAAAGACAGTCGATGCTGTCGACTGTTATGCGGTTGTTGCTTGACGAGGTGAAGTTTGCCGGGTCCGTGACGTTTCCCAGAGGAGACATTCCGTGCACTCCATGGTCTTTCGTGGACATCCTGCTATACTCAATGTCGTGTTACCATCCACTGTCGCAACATGAGCAATGCTCGCTAGTGATACATCATCGACAGACGACTCGGTTTGACGAGTAGCAAGTAATTTCTGCCCTTTCCGACGATTTCTGGTCAATGAGTACATGCACTAAGTAGCGCCATTGAGTACATGCACTACGTAGCCCCATTGAGTCCGTGTCCTTGCTGAACAAATCTGTCATCGACATGGGATGATGAGATGACATACTACCGGAGCAACGCGTTCCTGCGTACCTCCACAGAAGCTCTAACTGATGATCCGTCACTGCATTCTGGGCGAGCAGCTTCAACTCGGTGAGGCTGCAGAAAACGTTGGACTCTGTTACCACCTGGTAGCATCAATTGCAGACAGCTGACCCGACACGTACTCTTTGGTGAACAGATCTTCCATGCATATCTTGTGCAGCAGGGACTGTGCTGCGTAGTTATTGACGATCCGTGTCGATACAAGAAAGCGTTCGAACTGCGATTCCTCTTCGAGCAAGAACGGGCGGTCGAACCACACGCGAGGCAGGATGCGGCGATCTTCTAGCGCGGCTTCGGCGCATTGATCGATGACCGTACGGACGAAGCATCCGGCTTCCTCACACGAAAAACTGCATGCCACAAGTCACAGGCAAATGCGATATCTGACTTAGCGACACGCTGCAGTGAAAGGCCAAACAGACGTTCATACCTTGTCAACACGTGGACTTCGACTCGGAATTGCACAAGTGCTGAGAGGAACAAGGTCATGGCATCTTCCATGTTTGCAGTTGGAGGACTGCACAACGCTGAATGCACAGCAACAGAACGAGCGTGAGCTAGCCGGTCGTCTTTGCGATAATACACCAGCAGAGCTCGTGGTACCAATAACGAGCCAGCACTTCTGGAACTGAATTTGCAACCGAGCTAAGCTGAAAATGAAGCTCTTCATGTTTGCTTCAACTGCGCATGACAAAAATGAGATGAGCTTGCAGTGTCATCAGCACACATTTCAGTAGACGTACCTTGGAGTATGGCATCAGTCACCACGCAGATGCAGTTTCTTTCGTCAATGAGTATGTCGATCGGTGGCGGGAGATCTCGCTCGATGAAGTAGATTTGCTGCTCTGTACAAAGTTCATCGAGAAGCTCGTCCTGTCCACACAACATTTCAGTCAGCTCATACTGACAAGGTTGAGCACTTCGATGCGGCGCAAACCTGCTGCAGGAACGGGACCGAACACAAGACGCGAACAGGCACGTTCTCTTTCTCCATCTGCATGAGTTTTTGCCTTTTCTGAAGTGGATGCGGTACCGATCCGTTCTCCGTCGTATCGCTTGTGACTTCCTGTCCACCGGAATCGATCATGCTTGTGTCGACAGGTACGCCGCGCTTGCCAATCGGCTCCAAGAGTGTACAAAGATCTTTCCAGTTGGAAGACCCCAGCATGAGCTTGTACTTGGCACTGTGGAGGATCCTAGCCAAGAAGGCTGCCATCATCGCAGCCCCCCGCACTTGGTACATCGATATGATGCTACATTCCCTCAAGCGTAGGCACATCAGTCACCTTTTCATCTTGATGCAAGAAGAGAAAAGACCTTACCGCAAAGTATGAAGCCAGGCGGCTTGACGAAGAGTAGCACAAGCTTCGATGATGTCGGTACTTGCAAACGCTGAAGGGTTCACTCTCATCTTTTTCACCTCATGGCATTGCTTGTAAATGATTGCTTCTAATGCTTCCAAGCTCACACCATTTAGAGCCTGCTGGAAAGAAGACTCGTCAACTCGAAGCATCCTTTTCCGCATCAAGTCCCACAATGCTGGCCGAGCAATCTGCTGCAGAAGTTGGTTGAATGTCGAATCCTCTTTGGGAGGATCTGGGCTCACATCATTCGTTGAGGTGATTTTGCTCGAACTCGTCCCATCTGGTGATCGCTCACTCCACGCACACCTCAGAAACTTGTCGCTCAACAGATAGTCCGTACTCAGGTCAACGGGGGATGCTTTGTTTGCAAGCAGCAATCGCGCCAGGCTAGCCCGCGAAGACGGATCGGACTGATCCTCATTCTTTTTGGTCGCGGGTGGGGTCGCTGGGTTCTCTCGATTATCATCGGCGTGCAACGGTACCGACGCGGAACCGCAGGTATATGACGCGGGCAATTTTGATTGTGTACCCACCTCACTCAGCTTCTCAGCGACCAGCTTTGCTAGCCCATTCAGAGCAGCTGCGTGATTCCACACACATGGAGTATTCATGGACGCTTTTGTCAGCGAAATGTCAGTACGCTGGAGACTATGCAGATGTGCGTCCGCCAATGCCACGATTGTCGACGGCGCAGCGAGAACCCTCACTTCATCGTGTCGTACCAGTTCACATGGAAGTAAAAGCTGCTGGATCTCTTCCACATCATCGGCAGGACGTATGCTGTACAATCGACGCCCCCACTCGCCTTCAAACACGTTTGGCACGACAACTTCTCGCACAAGAAGCTTCGCTTGCGCATGTGCCCGGTTCACCGTATGAAACATCTTGCTTGATTCTTCGTACATGAATGACTGTCCAGATCTGCGTGCATCGTACCAATCGCATTGTATCCGTTGCGGCTTGAGCAACCGAAAGCGTACTTCATGACACTCGACATCGTTGCTCTTCGGACACAGCAGCGTCGCTGCCAACGGATCGCTACTGTAGCTCCACAGCTCCTGCACACCTGACACCTCGTCATCTTTTGTCCCCAATGATGGCACGTCACACAACGCGACAATTTGTTGCAGCCACTCGTCCCCTTTTTGCTTGAGAGCAGCATGTTCCCATCCAGGGCGTGCAAGATAAGCAGGTACATCCAGTATCTTCCCGCCGTGAGATCCCATATCACTGTAGTTGCCACGTTCCTCCACGAATGGCTCTTCTCCAGCAGCTGACACGCCTCGACATGTGTCCACACTATCTCGACCTTCTTGCCCCCTTCTTGTCCTTGCCACAGTGTCATGAGCATCAATGTGTCTCCTCCTGTTTCGATACACCAGCAAGAAAAAGGGTAACCTACAAAGCGGCACTCAGTAGTCTCACCTCATACAGATCGGCGCCACGTTCTCCGGCTCGCGCGCCTTTGCTCTGACTTTGTCGAACGTCAGCAGATCGTTCACAGAGACGCTGCGTCGATCGCTATCCTCTCCGTCGACTTCCCTCGACGTCGACAGATCTGCCCGTGCGTGCACTGTATACAAACTGCCCGACACATTGCAGACAGGCGGTCCTTTTTGCGCGCTTTCCGCTTGTCGTGGCAGCTCCAGGTCCGCCTCTTCATAGTATGGACCCACAAGGTCCGCGCCGTCCACGACGTTGCTCTTTTCTACGCAGCGCTTCGTGCGGACTGCGTCATGGATTAGCGACAGCACCAACAGACACGACAGAGAGAGGCTGCAACGCACCGGTGATGGCCGCGCCGTCGCTGTCGTGGGGGCTCGGCATCTTTCGTGCAGAATGAAGGTCACTCACGTTGAAGTTGGCGTTTATTTTCAGTAACTGGGGGTACTCAACAACAAGTGTGTGAGGTGACACAAGTTGGTATGGTGCGAAGAGACAAGGGTTACGATGTTGCAGGCGGTTTGTTATCCTGCTTATGACGTCTAAGCGGCTCCGATCCGAGACAGCATGGCACTGTCGTGCGCTGGACTTTGGAATGCAGCGCGAGCGTGTTTTTCTAAATCGTTTTATAATTATGGAAACAAACCGAGACTGCGGGGCTGCCTGTAATTGTAATAGTGTACTATTTTGTAAACTCGACTGATCATCATGGCCGAGAATGGCGTCTTGATCCTGGGCTCGGGCCTGGGCCTCGGCATGAACGCGCTCGTGGGTGGACTCGTTGGGCTGCACGTGCTAGCACTGGTACGTGACGCGCACCTAATACGTATTTGCGCGCTGTACTAATCATACTAATCGACTGCTTGTGGTACACGTCTCTGCGCAGTTCTTCTGGCTGGTCAAGGTCATGCAGGAAAGCTCCAAGACGACGAAGCAAGCTGCGATCAAGAAGCGCCAATGAGCGACGAAGAGGGACAAACAATTGCCGGTCGGCTGTGTTGGCATGGACATGTAGTACTCCGCAAAGAAGCCAAGCTTGGCGTGGCACGACGTATCAGTAGGCACGACTCTCTCTCTGCGTTCCTCAGTGCCTCTCACCTTTAACAACGCATTTCTCCTACCGATAGCTCCGCATTTTCATCTCTTGCATTGCTTGGAACCGTCCCGTGTAGTACCCAGATTGGTACCACGACATGAGCACGTTCGCTAGACCATCGTCTGGCCCTGCTGCGCCGGGTGCTGCTAATCCTGGTATCGGAGCTGCTGGAATCCCAGGAAACGACATTGGGATGGATGGAGAAGGCGCAGCCGGTGGATAGTACGGCGCATGGAGTGGCATCTGAAGACTTGGCCCAAACGGCTGCGGAGTCGGTGCAGGAGGATACGCGGCCTGGAACTGCGCTTGGAGCTGGGCAAATGCTTGAGCGTATGCTGCCTGATACAAATCATTTTGCTGCTGCTGCTGATGATGATCGGCTGACGGCATCGTGCCAGCTGGAGAAGCTACGTGCGCCCCTGCGTTCAACTGTCCATACGTTCCTCGTGCTCGTGCTGCTGCTGGACTTGCTGGCTCGTGTTTCTGCTCTTCATATCTCTCGTCAACAGTGAAGCTCTGGGCAGTGCTTTTGCTCTTTCGCTGCGGCGGTACTGCCTGCCGCGTCCTGCTGAAGTGAAGAGGTTAGTCACGGACGACATCCACGAGCCGCGAGAACGACCATCGGTTCACCCTGTCAACCGCAAGTGCCCCACCTTCCAGCTGCCTTGACAGGTGCCGAGCTGCGCGAACGCTGGTCAGTCAACGCTTCCTCAAACGCCTGCACGCAACACACATACGCAGATTCGTGAGCAAGAGAGAGAGCGACGCTAAACCACTCGATGGCGCTGACCCCTTTACCCGGACAATGGCCATGTCGTCCCATTGCTCTTCAATCTCCTGCTCACTGCCGCTCTACGACGAGCAAAAGCAAAACGGCAGTGCAAAACAAGTAGCAGTTGCACAAAGCGTCAGGTCGCCGCGCAGTCGCTCGATCGACAGCAGCTCCTTACCGTCGACGCCATTTGTTCGCTGGTGTTGCGCGAGACCTGCTGACAATCGGTCACATTTTTTAGCGCTGGACCAAATCGCCCAAACGGGACGTTTTTGGTCCAGCAATCAGACGTGGCCTTTTTGTGGCCCGCGCCTCAGGTGGTCTATTTTGCAGCGTCGAAGCTGAGCCCGAGATCGTCAGCGCTCACCACTTGCGTCATCTCGACGTGGGTGGGGTGGGGTACGTACGACCACATCAGTCTGTCAACATCTCGACAACCTGCCGCAGAACTCGGCCAAGCGCCACTGTCGACATCTACGAGAGACATCTACAGAGGGACCCTAACCTTCCGTGGCACATATCATTACGGCTCGAATGTCGCGACTAAGACGAACCCTCACGGGGTCACATAGAACTATGAATCCACATGGACGTGTGTCCCTCGTTGTCACGCCAGCCGCTTGTCGAGCGGTTACACTCTGTGCGTGAGCAAACACGTTGTAACCTCTGCGAGCAACGAGTCGTCACACGTCACTTGCTCGACTGCAACCGACTGGTCTAGTTCCGCGGACCGCAGACGCGAAAGAGCAGCCAGGGGGTATTGTTTTTCACCGAGAGTTCGTGTCGCCGAGTGCGATTCCTTTGCACACTGCAGAAAGCGGTCCGTCGCGTATTTGTTCACAAATGTTGTGGACGAGAACGCCCGCGTGGTCGCGCAATGCGCCACAGAGTAAGCGCACGGAAATTTCCCCCGCGGGATCAGCGACGCAAAAACAGAGCCACCTGCCCGACTTTTGTGCCGCGCCGCGCCCATTGTGCTACTCTTGAGGGGCGCCTAGGGCTGCGGCTACGTTTCACTTGCTTTCGCTATGCCCATGTCGCCACGAGGCCATTCTTTGCGCGGCGTCGTCGAGTCAGTCAAACTCGGGCGCCCCACGAAAGCCGCGGGCGCGTTGACCCGCAACGACCGAACCCCACGTACACGTACACGCGCGTCGACGTCGGCACAACGCACGGCCGTCTGTTGCCCCGTCCACCTCTCCACCTCTCGATGCGCGTCGTTGGCCAGCGGCGCGGCGCGGCGGCGCTCGTGGCCGCTGTCCTCGTCGCGACAGCGGCCGCCGAGTGGACACTCGACGTCTCGTGTCCCTCGCAGCGGTCCGTGACGCTCACGGTCTCAGACCTCACGGCGGCGTACGAGTGTGCAGACCGCACGAACGCGGCACAAATGGGCAGCGGCTACTTTATGGTCGACGTGAACGTCGAGACGCTCGTACTGGAGCTCAAGCGCTCGAGCGTCGACATTTTGTAGGTCCCCCTCTCGCTCGCTCTCTCTATCTCTTTCTCTCTCTTTCTCTCGCTCTCTCTGTTAACGTGTCGCTATCTGTATCATTGTCAAAGCCCAAGTCAAGAACAGTGTCTAATGTTGATGTGGTGTGTGGATCGTGTTGGTGGTCTGCTGCAGAAACTTTTCCTCGTCTGCCACTACAAAGCCGTCGATAGCAGAGGCCGAGCTGGACTTTCGCGACTTTGATCACCTCAAGAGCTTGTACGTGGTGGGCTGGACGTGCGGTCGTTCTTGTGGTCAAGTTGCAGTGGCGCTGACGGTAGTGCCGCTGCTGTGCTGCGGTGGTTTTTTGTGTGGCGAAGAATATTTACAAACGTAGCAATGGACAGCGTCGAGCTACTGGTCCCAAACGTCACGACCGATGTGTATGTAGCGTGGGCTGTATCTGACTGTGTGGGGGGCGAAAGCCATACGTGCTGACGACTCTCTTCTTGTCGCTATGTGGGCACTATTGCGCAGACGCATTGTCAACTCGGATATTAACGATCTATCGCTACCGTTGCCAGGAGAGGCGTTGACGCAGATGTGAGTTTTGCTGCTACTGCGATGTCGTGGACTAGATGAGTCACCACCTGTGTTTGTTTGCTCTGTTGCTGTCGTGGACAGTGACTTGAGTGGCACGAGTGTTGCGAAGCTACCAATGTTCCTTTACGAACGAGATCTGCGCAGCAATGTGAACATGTACGACGAATCGGTTTCTTACATCGTGAGGTCATTGGGTGTCGAATGTCTTGCTGACTGGCTGGCTGGCTGACTGATGTGCAGAACGGTGGATTTTTCTCTGGTCAATGGCGAAGCCGAGCTCAGTACGAAGCAGCTGAACGCTTTGGAAGAAAACCTACAGACTTTCTCGGCACAGTCTTGGGCACGCGAGTATAGTTTGAGCTGCAACATGCCGGAGATATTGAGCATGACGGTTCCTACTGGAAGTGCGACAAAGACGATAGTGTGCGGTACCGAAAGCGCATCGCCTGACATGACATCTGCGAGTGATCGCTCTCCTATCACTAGTACGAATAACTCGGGTGCTGGTGCGAGCTTTGCCGATGATAGCAGTGGTGTATCCACAGGAGTTCTCGTTGCGATCATCGTTGTAGCCGTCGTGGTCGCTGTGCTCCTCGCACTCTTCCTCTTGCGGATGTACGTGAAGCGCAAGGCTGCCAAAGCAAGTTCCCCTCGCAACGACGCTGCAACGACGCTGATGAGCAAACGCGATGCTGCCAATAAGAGTTCGTTCATCTCCAACGACGAGTTCTTGCGGAACTTCCGGCTCCCCCAGAGCGATGTCGTACTCATCAAATCTGTAGGCACGGGCCGTCTCTGGATAGGCGAACATCATGGCGGAAAAGTGGTCTTGAAGCGTGTGGAGTCGGAGGTAACGGACTCGCACGTAACAAAAGCGCTGATGGCGCAGGCTCGAATGTTTGCTACTATCTCGCATCCGAACATTACGTGTTTGGTGGGGGTCACTTGGTTGGCCGGTACGGATTTCGCGGTGGTGACTGAGTTCATGGACAAGGGCAACCTGAAGACTATGTTAGCAAACACGGACGTGGACTTGACTATCTCTACGAAATTACAAATGTGCAGCGATGTGGCGTTGGCGCTCGCATATTTGCACGAGTCGGAGCAGAATCTGTGCGCAAGACAGTTGTCTAGCCAGAAGGTACTCGTCAACAAGGCCATGAAGTGCAAGCTTAGTCTTTTCGAGTGCGTCCCGACCTCTGGCAAACTGGGATGCCCAAACGCCGCGTATTCGTATGGTATGGGCGAGGTTGCATGGTTGTCACCCGAGGTGATTACCCGGTCGTGTCCGATGGACGCGCGGAAGAACAACGTCTACGCCTTTGGTGTGCTTGTCACCGAAATTTTTACGCGAGTGTCACCATACCAGTCGCTGATCGAGATAATGGGCAACACGATGTCAGATATAGAGATTGTAAAGCGCGTTTGGCGCCAGGAGTTGCTGGCACCACACGACAACCGGCAAGAGTACCTTGTAGCGCCAGCAAGCGTACAGCAGCTGGTCGGGCGGTGTCTTTCGTACGCACCTATGAGCCGACCAACGGCGAAGGATATCGTCGAAGTCTTGGACAGCGCGAAGAGAGAATTAGCGACGGGCAGTATTTGAATGGGGGAGTCTGCTCATGAGATAGCGGGCGAAAGAACTTGGCGACGGTCGTCGTGCGTGGCGGCTCCACAGAGTCTATGTCGCCATATCTTGACGTTGGCGTCTTGACACTCCGCTGGTTCGGCCTGAGCTCACAGGATCGAGGCGTGAATGTATGTTGTGTTTTCCAAGATCTCCGGCAACGGACCAAGCGATCGGTTGCTTCTCGAACGTGGTTGGTGACGGTTGAATGCACATCGAAATGTCCCAGGGTTGAGTGTAACACGGAGAAACCGAGGTGGGTCGTGAGAGCTCTTGGCGAAGATGTTGTTGACGGTGACATCTTCCATAGTCACGAGAAGCAGTGGAGGGCGTGCAGCCCATGACAACATCTGCACCTGCGTTATGTTCGCCTTCACTGTGGACCTGCGGGGAAGCGCATTGGATCGAGCACGAGAATGGTGCTCGTAGATATCGCACAAAAGTGCGCGAGAGCCAAGTGGTTCAGCCCTTGCTGAGCTTTCATATCGATGCCAGAGGCTGCTGCAACAGGAAGTCGGCGAAGTAGCACCGCGACGCATGTCTCGAAAGGCCACGTGTTATGTTCATAAAACTCGACTTGCAGTGGACCCGTACCGCTTTTTGCTTTTGTATACGACAAGCTCATGCCCAGCAAACAACGAGTCTTGCATGCCACTGTAAGACGTTGTAGGGAACGTTACACAAGCTCAATACGTACGCAGACAGCGCCGTCAAGTATTCACAGTCGCCTCAGACCATGGTATAATCCAAACACCCTCGCGCGCGTAGTTCTGCATATTTCGAGAGGTATTCTGGCTGCTTTGCGATTCCGCAAGCTATGTGATGGTCGTCCTTGCACTGCACTAGTCGATCATCACTGCATCTCGATTGGCAACGTGTTTGCACGTCCACGAGGTGCGTGCGAAATGGCTATCCGACTAAGCTCAGACGAGAACCTATCTCAGACTTGTCGCTTTGTGACGTAGCTGCAAGGCGATGAGCCATCATCTGTCTGCGTAGCATTACTATTGCCATCATGTGTCTGCGTAGCATCGGTATCCGCACCGCCGTGGCTACAACACTACGTTCCTTGCGCACTACTTGCTCGACCACATCCGTAGCGCAAATGCACTTGCCATTGCTTCACTCAGATTGTCGTATATTGTGCATTACAGCTCGGACAAGTGCGTCATCACACACAACGTCACCCACTCCTTCGCGCTTGCGAGAGCGATGAAGACACTCAGTCTTTGAAGAAAATCCGAGCGCCGTTGAGAGACCAGTCCAGCAGGTCGAACTCACGGCGGTTCAACTCGATGCGCTTGGCAGTGAGCTGCAGCGTATGCACTTCTTCCTCGTCATCAATCAGCTCAGCAGCAGTCTCCTTCTGCTTCTTGGCTGTCTGCGCGCGCTTGCGGGCCTCGCGTTCACTTTGCTTCGCATTGTAGGCCTCTTCCTCGACCTTGTACTTTCGCTCCACCTCTTCAAACCAGTGCAGCGCGTCAAATTGCTGCAAACAGAACAGCGTTAGTCAGGTATGATCAGGGCTACTTGCAAACGCCACACACACGCCCTACCTCTCCTTGATCAAGGATCGCTAGAATGTAGGCAACACCAATCGCAAATCCGTCATCGGAAAAGTACGATTCCCGCCGACGTGTGTTCTTGTACATGAGATCCTTCGCCTGCACAGTGGTCTCAACGTAGTTGATGGTGAGTGCTGGGAGAATGGCGTAGAAATTTACCAGATGTTTCTGCTCGTCGCTCACTGTGACGTCCTGGAAAACCTTGACGAGCACCTTGAAATAGTCGTTGTTTTCCGAAAAGTTCTTGGCCAAAGTCGAGATTACGGAATCGAGGTTGCAAGCCGCGACCACAGTCTCACGGGACAGCTTTGCGCCCACAATTTCGCTTTGCACCACCTCACCCGTCTCTTCGTTCTTTTCCTCAGCGACGCCGTCGCCAGCATAAGCTTCGAATTTGAAGTGCGCGCGGTTCAGATCGGGGACGAACTTTATGGCATTGCTGCAATGATTCATACCAGCTGAGCGCACCATGCGCACATAGCCCAACGCATTACCAATCTCTGTAATCAGCATGCGAAACTGGTCCAAAAAAGTCTTGCCAGAATCCGAGACGCCTAGCTTCCGAATGTCTTTATTGAAGTGAAAAGCACGGTCAAAAGGGTACTTGTTATCCACCTCCTTGTCGTCGCGGTGTTTCTTGTACCAGCGTTTCTCACGCTGCAAGTAACTCTTGATGTACTCGTCGAACAAGAACTGGGAAAAAATGTCGAATTTCTTGGTCAGGAACTGGTACGTGAAGTTCACAGTCGTGTTCATGATACCCATGCCGTGTGTGCGTATCGAGCTCGCGATCGAATGGATGTTGATCGAGTTCAGGTGTCGAGAGCCCTTGTCACTGCGTCGCTCCAAGAAGAACTGCTGATTCAGGTTGTAGTTGTACCGAGCAACGAAGATCTGGATATTGCGCATGATCTGAAGGACATCCAGTCCCTGGTCCAGCGAACCCATGGGAAGATGATTGTCGGCAAGATGTAAGCTATACTTGTCGTTCGCCAAATTGCGCATCTCACCGTACGTTTTCCAGTCATGCAGGGCAACAGTAGTCAAGTTGTAGAACGTGCTTTCGAGATAATGCGTGACTTGCTGCCGCAGATCAAGCATTTTCCCGTGAAGGCGAATAGGTCGCAGATTGAGGTAGTAGTGGAGTACCCTGAAGTCGGCGCTCTTTGGGTTGGGCGCATCCAAGTGGTCCAGATGAACCGAATGTACATGCAGGCGTAGATCATTTTCCACATCCTTGCACAAATTTTCCACAATCTCCTCTTCCATGACTGACTCGATAAACTCCGCGTACGCATTCACATATCGCTCGTTGTCTGTCTCGTGCTGCGCGCCACGAAGCAGCTTTATCGCGTCAAGAAAACCGCCCGCAATGTACTGGATGCGGTTGGCTTGTTCGGGCTGACGGTACAGGTCCGACAAGAACGGGTGCAACAACTCGCGACTCCAGTAAAAGAAAGAGCAATCACAAGCACTTCGGATCTTGCGCTGGAAATCACTCAATAGACGTAACTTCCAGATTAGCTTCACCGGCTCACCGGCATCTTTGAGACCCGTGGGGACTGTCGTGCCCACGTCATCGCCCTTCTCGCTGACAGCACTATTATTCTCTGGCGATATCAGCGCAATCTGAGCTGCAAGATCAAGCACCGTGATCCGCGTGTACGAAAACGACTCTCCAGAGTTGAGGATATCTTCCAGTACGGTCACAGCGGCTAGCACGTCCAGCTTCGTGTCATCAAACTTCTTGCTTGCTTCCAAGTGCGCTTTCAGTGGACGGAAGAACGAGAACAACGAGTGCGCTACCTGGCGCAGCAAGTGGGACGACGATTCGGCGAGAATAGGATTTTTGCGCGCAAACATAAACTCGACTGCTTTCAAGATCTCAATGCACGTGTACAACGGTCGTACCACCCGTTTGGGCATCGGGATTTGCAGAGAAAGGTGCAAATTGACCAAGGTGTGCATCATGGTCTGCACTCGTTTCGCCAAAATCAAGCCCTTGAGTATCAAATTGCCGCGGATGCTCAACGTCCGTGACACGTCACCCATCCCGCGAGTCGTCGGCTGGAAATATGACTCCATGCGAACAAGCCACGCACTCAGCTCCAGCTTAGCAGTCGTGACATCAGCTGGGAAGGCAGAATCCAGCGAATGCAAGTACTCACGACGGAACTGCACGATGTCCATCGGATGCAGCTTCTTCGACGTCATAGGCGAGTACTTTAACAAGAAGTCGGGCATGTACCACATAATCTTGCCGCATATGGTCACGCAAGGAGCCTTCAACTGCATTTCCCACAGCCTTTTGTACAGCACAGGGTCTACAGGGACGCTAGGTGGATGCAGCCCACGAAGCAGCACATATAGTCCTGCTGTCCCCACGAGATCGTTTCGTTCGAACGTCTCTGTGGCTGACGCAATCGCACTTTCGGCAATGCTCAAACGAGCGCTGATACAGCGAACAAACTCGTCCAAGAACACTCGGTTCGTGCGGATGTCAATCTTGGACTCTCCTCCACTGCTGCTCGCACGTCTACCGCCTCGCTCGCTATCACTTCCACGAAGATCTTCGTCGTCTTCCGCGATGTCACCGCCAGAAAAGATCTCAAAGTCCTGCTCGATACAACTCTGAAACACCTGTGCGCTCATTATCGTCTGATCCAGACTGACGAGGAGCCGCTCAAACTGTTTCACTTTTTCAGCTGTGACGTTGTAGCGAGGCGGATCTGAGCGCACGTACTGCATCATGCGCTTGTACTTGTCCCACGATGTTATGATGCTCGGGTTGTCGATGACGATCGCATCGATAGTTATCATGACTTCAAGCAGACTTGCTAGCGCGTCAAACGCGGGGTGGAGGTGTACAAGCTTGAACGTAGACTTCCACAGTTTCTGGAAACTCTGGTACAGGCTCGCTAGCTGGTGGATCATGTTGATGGTGATAGCGTTGCATCGGTCCACAAAGTTGGACATGTCCTGGAAGAACGCAAGCATGCGTCCAATGTGGACTTCATTCTCGCCAGCTTTTACGTCGTCTTCCTCTCCATGGCACGCTTGGCCGAACATGATGAGTGCGGGATAGAAGTTGTCTTCTACCGTCACCTTGAGCTCGGAGATTTCGTCACAGAGCACAGAAAATACAGTCAAAACCTTGTTGAACAGCTCGTTGTCCGTCTTGATCAGATCCTGGACATCCACACGCTCAGCGGGGTGGAGGTAAAGCTGAATAGGGTCCGCCTGCAGTTTTCCAGCAGCCAATCGACACCGTGAGTGCTCCCCACAACATTTCACCAACAACGAGATCGATCTATAAGTAGCTCGTACCCAATATCCCCACACTTCCGACATTGCCGCTGTAATCGCGTCTTCGATTTCCTTGAGCTTTGTCTACGACCAATCAAACACACAACGTCAGCGGCAGCTGGGTCTACTTCCTGCTGCTTCTTCTTCTTGCGTAAACCGCACCGTATGGTCGTTGATAATGGACAGTCCACGCTGTAGCTCCTCTCGAATAGGTGGGTCTTTTCAGCAGCCATTGCCCATTACCACCACCACCCACCACACCAAACAAAACAGAACACCGTCAGCTCCACAGTCTCTCCAGCACCAACCACCACCTCCAGCTGCTTCCCCTTCACGCACCATGTGCATCCGATTCGGTAAACGGACTGCCAAACTGGTCATCGCCCAAGTTCCAGTTCTCCGTAATGGTCGACAGCGCCGTACTGTCTTTGCGCTTCTTGCCTTTCGTCACGCCAAAGTTGGACACGAACGACGACTGGCGGCCGCGTTCCGAGCCGCTCATGCTCGCGCGACTGCTCGTCCGCGACAGCCGCGAGGCCCTCGAGTCCGACCGGCGCTGGCGGCCGTGCGACGCGGACGAGCGGCCCAACCCCGTGAGCCGAAAGTCCTTTGCCGACAACTCGGACGCGCGCGAGTCGCTCCGGCCCATGTCAAAGCGCGTCGAGTCGGCCCACGACGCGCGCGAGTCGAATCGCGGCCGCCCCTCGTCGTGTCGAGACGGCGACACGACGCTCGACTCGTCCGAGTAGCTGCTACTCCGGCTGCTGCTGCTTCGACTGCTCTGCACGGCGCTGCTGCTGTCAGTGTGGCGGCTGCGCGCGAGCAGCGGCGACTTGGCGTCCTCGCGCTTCTTCGTCGTGGCCGCTGTCTTCTTCGACCTGTGGGCGTCGCTCATGATCGACCGCAGGGGACAGACACGCGACAGGGGGAGCGCAAAGCGACGAGCGTCGACGAGGTGCGTCTGGTCGGGGGTTAGGGCGCTGCGTAGGGAGCGCGCGGGGAGCGGCGCGACGGCAGCGGGCGGAGACGCACGAGGGGGAACTCGCGTCACGTCGTTGTCGGCGGCGGCGTCGACGTTGTGTGTGTGTTTGTTTTTGTGGGTGGGTGGGTGGGTGAGTGGGTTTTATTGCCTGGGTGGGTGAGTGGGAGTGTATCGGATGTCAGAGGATTGGTGTGTGCCGGCTGTGGACAGCAGCGTTATGACGAGTGGGGTGCAGTATGTGTCATGACAATGACATGTTTTGTGGGCAGATCTGGTAGTGAGTAATGCGTGGCAAACCAGTGAATGGCATCGGTATCCTCGTCGCCCGCCATTTGTCGATGCCGACTGGCAGCTGTGGTGGTCTGCGGCTGTAGGACTGCTTGACACATCGGGTGTAGACTAAGTCACTGGATGCAGCCATTCTCCCTACGTCGTCAGTCAGACTGCATCTCGACCAGCTACGCGCGGCCGTCAACATGAGTAGCGAGCGACGCCGTTGTGTACATACCGTATCATCGCTAAGCTGAATAACATGACCCGAAACCCAAATAGCAACCGCTCCACATCTCCTTTCATCAGTCCTCTTTCAGTCAGGCGACCACCAACTCCTGCGACTTGTTGCCCAGTCACTCGGTACCAAATCGTCAGACTCGCCTACCTCACCCTTCTCCTCATCCGTGGTCGCAAGAATCAAACCATACCTCAATGCCGTCAAGTCGCCGTCATACGTATTGTACCACACAAAGGCGCATGTGTCACAGCCGCTGCGACTAGAGCCGCGACGGGTCAAAATGGCCGAATGTTCTCTGTGCCGCGTAGCGATTTCTTGAGCATCGTGGGGTCTGCCCAGGACGACAGTTTGTAGTAATCTTCTGCTTCATCTTCCACCCCGCACTGCTGCTGCTGCTGCTGCTGTTGTGTCTGCTGCTTTTGGCAGCAAAAGGCCGTCATGGCCTTGCGTTCGTCTTCGTGCACAGCAGACTCGCGACGTGGCGCGCCTTCTCCTTTCTTCTGTAACGTGACAATGATCGTCGACTTGTCGTTCTTCCCAACGACGTCACACACGTTCGTATCGCGGGTAAACCGCTTGCCCGCCCACCAGAGCTCCGCCGTCTCACCCGACAGCACGTCAAGCGCCGCCGCCGACTCGGACAGCGCTTTCTCAGTGCTTTCTGCATCCAATAGACGCTGCATCAGGTGATGCGGTGGCGGCAGACCCATTGGAAACGCCTGTGCCACAGCGCTGCGAATGTGCTGCAGCTTCTCCAGCAACTCGCTCTCGGTACTACAAACCCGTCGTGCGCCAAGCGTCTGACTCGAATCCAGCACCGCCTTAGCGTCCATCGCCACACGCAGTAGCACGTCTTGATGCTGCACGCCCGCGCTCGCGTCCGCTTTCCATTTGGTCCGTTCATCATCCGCCGACTCGATCTGCGTCTGTCCGTCCAGTGCACTTGTGCCGCCGCGTGCCACATCCTCCAGAACTTCCACCAGAGCGGCCAGTCGCAGTCGGAGGTTGAACACGCTACACAACGAGCGGATCAGCGCGTCGTTGCGCGTCGCACACGGCGCTTCAACGAGAAACGCGCGGCACGCGCTGCGCTGGACGCGAAACACGACCATCTCGTCGTTCACACCGATCAATCGCAACGAAAAAAGCAAATCAGATCATATCCCACCACACCGTAGTGTCTGGATCACATCATATCGTATCATATCGAAAACCAAAACCAAGTCGACCCGGTGGTCGAAACTGCGCGGTCGGACACTTTTGCTCCACATGCCACGCCATTTCCCGCTCAGCTCTGTCGTCCAAGCCGACCCTCGTCGTCCAAGCCGACCCACTTTGTCGTACACGCACCATCCACGCCCACGACGGACTCAGCGACACGTTTTGTCGCCGCCACCCGACAGACGTACGTCACGACCGCCGCCGACGCCCCACCAGCCCCTCCTCCGGCATCGCCCCTCATGCTGCGCTGGGAGGTGCTGCGTCCCCCAACACCGACACCACCGCCGCCAACGACGTCGACAACGTGGCCCGCGCCTGCCGTCAAGAACCACTCGGCCACGGCCGTGTCGCCGCACGAGCTGCTCGTGTTTGGCGGCTACGACGGCCGCCGCAACCACAACGCGCTGCACGTGCTCCACGTCGCGCGCCGCACGTGGCGCGACCTCACGTCCGCGACGCGCGGCACAGCGCCCGCGGGCCGCAACGGCCACACGGCGACGCTCGTGGACGCGACGCAGCTCTTTGTGCTCGGCGGGTGGCTCGGCAGCGGTCCGCTCGCGGCCGCCGACGTGCACGTGCTGCACTTGGACACGCTCCAGTGGCGCCGGCCGCCGCTTGCAACGGCGCTCAGCCCCTGCAACATGCACACGGCCGACTTTGTGCCCCGTCTGCGCAGCATCTTTGTGTTCCGCGGCGGCGACGGCCGCGAGTACCTGAACGACCTCCACGCGCTGCAGGTGGACCGCCTGACGTGGACGACACTGCGGCCGCGCGGCCGCGCGCCGGCGCCCCGGGCGAACCACAGCTCGGCGCTCGTGGGCGACGACCTGCTCGTGTTTGGCGGCTGGAACGGCCGCCAGCGGCTCAACGACGTGCACGTGCTGGACGCGCGGAGCCTCACGTGGTCCCGCGTGCACGACGAGGATCGGGTCGACACGCGGCTGTATGGTGCGGCGCCGCCGCTGCCGCGCGCCGGTATGACGATGGCGCGGCATCGCGACCGCCTGTTTGTGTTTGGCGGGTCGGGGCCGTCGGCCAAGTGCTACGACGACTTGCACGTGTACGACCCGCGGCGACACGAGTGGATGGAGACCGTTGCGGTCGATGCGACGGCCGATGGAGTTGAGGAAGCGAAGGCGAAGCAGAGACGGAGTGGCCGGTCGCGTCGCTGTCGGACGTGCGAGCCGCCACGGTGGGATATCTACGAAGACGACGACCAGCGAGACGCGAGCGTGGCGGGCAGTATCGGTGACGACAACGATCGACGCAGTGGAGAAGACGCGTGTGGGGATTTGTACAGCGATGGAGAGAGTGTGGGGATGCCACGAGGGTGGGCGGAGGGTTCCTGCGGCTCGGCGAACCCGAACGAAGTGTGTGGGCTGGCCGACGTCGAGACGCCGAAGAGGAGAGACCCGTTGCTGGTGGTTGGGAAGGGTCCTGGACGGAGAGCTGGGCACACGTGCACTGTGGTGGACCGCATGCTTGTGATTTTTGGAGGCTCGTGCGGCACGGACTACCTGAATGACTGCTTCACGTTAGACACCGATCCGCCTCCGCGCGTTTCGGTCTCGCTGCCGTCGCCGGCAAGGATGCTGCGGCATGCGCTCGCTCAGTATGTCGACTGCGAGGAGTTTGCTGACATATCGTTCGTACGTGGTCTCCTCGTGCCCACTTTGTTGTCCCGAGGTCTAAGTTGTGTCTGACGCACTATGCTGTGCTTTGTGTGTGTGTGTGCACGTCGTTGGAATCGACAGCTCGTTGAAGGACGCGTGGTGTACGCGCACAAAGTGATTCTCTCAGCGCTGAGCGAGAGGTTTCGAGGCATGTTTTCCTCGGGCTTTCGTGAAGCCCGGGAGTCTCAAGTTGTTGTCCCGGGTGTGCGCCACGAGGTTTTCTTGCTGCTGCTCGAGTACCTCTACACGGGGCACATTGACACACACGATGATGCGTTTGCGGCGTGCCCGATCGCTCAAGATGTCGGGTCTGACCTCGACTTTGTGTGCAATAGCCTGGCTGCCTGCCCGCAGTCCGCGGACGGGCGTGTTGAAATCGAAGACGCGCGCCGGAGAGAGACAGAGCAAGCCCATTCTCTCGAGCGCGAGTCAACTGTGGAGCTCGAGTTCTTGTTGGAACTACTTGTGGCAGCCGACCAGTTCATGCTGGACCACCTGAAGCAGCGTTGTGAGCGGACACTGCAACACGCAGTGCATGTTGGCAGCGTCGAGGCAATAGCTAGAGCAGCGGACCGTGCAAATGCAGTGCAATTGCTCGCAGTGTGCCGCCACTTTCGGCGTAACAACCCGCTGTCTTCGCCGTCACGTGCAGTTTCGAGCAGCGGCTGCTCCTTCGATGGAGACAGTGATCCTGATGTAGAAGAGACGGAACCTCGGAGGACGGAGCGAGATGATAGTGCAGACGAAGTAGCGTTGCAGCTGGGTCCCGCGTCATCCGAGAGCGGTCAGTCTTTCCAATGATTGAACATATTGCTAATGCGTGGAGCTCGACGGGTACAATGTAGTAAACTTATTTGTAAAGTGTTACGTTGACTGAAGGTGTACTCGGCCATTGACAAACATCATGTACTAGACACACACACTATTACAACCTATTTCCTCTGGCCTGCAACTGTAGCACTGCCGCAAGTCCAGCGATACCAACGATATACAACTAACTACCAGCCATGTACAACAGCTACGCAGACATCAATGCGAGCCACTGCTTGGACGACTGCCCACATCATTACGCAAGTGGCGACCACGAGTTGCAACGACCGCGATGAATATCCGAGACAATGAGCCTTCTACCACCGTCGAGTTGCCAATGTTCACCGCATGTCACACTTCACGCGATGTCAACGCGGTCGTTACGCGACGTCGTGGTCCAGTTCTCAGCGCGGTAGCTCTCTTGCAAGTGAATGGTGCTCTCGCGACGGATGAAGCCCGACCAGCGCTTCAATGCGATGACAAACATTGCAATGTAGCGGATGAAAAACAGGAAAAACACGAGCGCGTTGAAGATCACGAACCCCTGCGCCACAATGCCGCGCCAATACGTGGACATGTCGCTGGACGTGAGGAACGCAAAGCTGCAGATCAAGTTTGCAATGGCCACGACGCGCAGACCCACGACGACACCCAGCATCCAGCGTGCGACAAACGGGTGGATGATAACCGCTACGACTACGAACAGTAGATGCGTCACCATCAACGACACGAGTTGAGTCGGTACACCCGACACGGCACCTGTGATGACGCCGAGGAAGATCTGGAAAAGTGCCGTCACCACGAAAAAGTAGCGGAAGAGTTTCTTGGATCCGCCATAGAGTGACCCCCACACGGCAAAATGCTTGAACCGAAACGCTGCACTTATCGGAATGGCGCGTACGCTCACAAACACGTAACACAGTCCACCGGCCACGACGGCCCACAAGCAAAACAGTGCCACAGCCAGACCACTTCCAACTCGGTAGCGCATTTCCATCACCAGCTCGTACGAAGACATGGCTACGAGAGGGAAAATGCAGAGGACCCACATCGTCACGCCCAAGCCCACCACACACATTGCAGAGCTATTTCGTAGATTGGTTGAGAACGGTGCCCACGTGCTAGGAGACATTCGGTGGCGGTAAAACGCAAAGCCCGCAGCCACAGCGAAGAGCACAGCCACAATGGCGACGATCGCGAGAAAGAACCAGAACGACATCATGAGAGCGTCGGCCTCATGGATGCCAATGCGGTCAGAGAAGGCAACAACACCCGTCAAGATGACCATCTGCAACCGGCGCGAGGCCCCCGAGACGGCAGTAGCAGCCACCGACGAAAGGTGGAGGTTCGCGAACGAGAACGAATCGGTAAAGTCCAGTACGATCTGAGGTGCCTTCGTCAAATCGAGCATCGAAATGGAGTTAACGTGCTGAATGTACCCCACCACGACGGCAAGTTCCCACACATTGGGAGTAAGCCAACCCATACGGCCTCGACTGCTGCCTTCACCCTGCCCACTGCCGTCGAAAGATCCACCTAGCCATGGCGGGCGCTGGAGCGCCAATAAATGAAAGAACATCAGGAGCAGAGTAGACACGATTCCGAGGGCGCAGCTCGTATAGAGCAGCGCATTCTGTGTCGCCTGTAGCGTGGAAGACAGTGTGATCGAAGCACCAGGCGGCAGACTCGACCGATTACCACCTCCGACAACAGTGTTGTTATATGACCCGGTTTCGCCTTCACGAGTCCGTAAATCGACCTCGCCACGGTCGTACTTCTCGAATGTTATCACCTTGCTTCCGTCCGAGTATATGATCGCAGAGCCTGTGTCGTCCAGTAAATCCAAGCGGTTGCCATTGTCAGCAGTGTCACCGCTATCAGGAGCAGTCTGCTGCGAGACTGCACCTGCTTCTGCGCTACCAATATCGCTCACATCAGCAGGAGCCACTGTTCCCACCGAGTCCAACAAAGCTGGAGATGAAGGCATTGCCACCGTCCTTGCTAAAGGAGACCTGGTCACAGGTGCTGGGCTCGGCGTCGATATGTCAGCTGAAGACGCTTCGGATGGTGTCAGCTCCGTCTGGGATACATCGTTCTCTTCTCCAAATGATTCAGTCGCGTTCGCCTTCACGGGAGGAGCTCTTGTCACTTTTGGAGCTCTTGCCACCGGTGCAGGACTCGGCGTACTCTCATCCTGATGCGTAGCGGAGCTTGAAGCAGCTGGTGAGGTGGTACTCGCACCATGCTCAGGGGAGTCCGAAGATCCGGATGCAGCCGCAGCACCCGAGCCCAAAAACGATGAAGCGCTTGGATCCGTCGTAGTCGACGTAGTTGGTGGAGAAACAATAATCCGCTTGGGTGCATTCATCATCGGCGGAGGGCTCCAGGTCCCATCCGACGAGCCCGATGTACTTAAATCGGCAGTCGATACAGTCTTTGTGCCAGACCTCGAGGATGAGGACGCGTCCGGGTTTCCTGCTATTTCAGACGCAGGGGTTGTAATCTTCGGTGGTTTCCTTCGTGGATCATTTGTCACCGGCGGGGGACTAAACGCAGTGTCTGCTGGGGGCCTTCGGGACGACCCTGCTGATCCAGACGGATGCGGCGACGCTCGCGAGCCAGAAGGCTCTGTAGACGATGAGGAGCTACCTCCACCAGATACGTCAGCAAGTAATAAATCATCTGTCCTGGATCCGCTTGGGTTTATCAAAAGGTCCCATGGCGTCGGCTCAGGAGTCAAAGGCGGTACCATTGGCGCAGTTGTCCCAGAACTAAACAGTGGACGCATCCTCGCAGGCACCCCATTCAACGAACCGTCAGTATCATCGAAACCAGAAGTATCTATCGGCGCGTCCGTCCACTGCAAGTCAAGACCAGTGCCCGACCCAGTCTCTGACGTCTCCGTAGCGTCTGTCGGCGTACTCGTCTCATCCAAGTCCAGCCCAGCGATCGACCCAGAACCTGGTGTCGGTAGAGCATCCGTCGGCGCGTTCGTCCACTGCAAGTCATTTGCATCGCCCAGCTCGACGTCCGACGTATCGGGAACGTCAACCGGCGCGTCCGTCCACTGCAAGTCAAGACCAGTGCCCGACCCAGTCTCTGACGTCTCCGTAGCGTCTGTCGGCGTACTCGTCTCATCCAAGTCCAGCCCAGCGATCGACCCAGAACCTGGTGTCGGTAGAGCATCCGTCGGCGCGTTCGTCCACTGCAAGTCATTTGCATCGCCCAGCTCGACGTCCGACGTATCGGGAACGTCAACCGGCGCGTCCGTCCACTGCAAGTCAAGACCAGTGCCCGACCCAGTCTCTGACGTCTCCGTAGCGTCTGTCGGCGTACTCGTCTCATCCAAGTCCAGCCCAGCGATCGACCCAGAACCTGGTGTCGGTAGAGCATCCGTCGGCGCGTTCGTCCACTGCAAGTCATTTGCATCGCCCAGCTCGACGTCCGACGTATCGGGAACGTCAACCGGCGCGTCCGTCCACTGCAAGTCAAGACCAGTGCCCGACCCAGTCTCTGACGTCTCCGTAGCGTCTGTCGGCGTACTCGTCTCATCCAAGTCCAGCCCAGCGATCGACCCAGAACCTGGTGTCGGTAGAGCATCCGTCGGCGCGTTCGTCCACTGCAAGTCATTTGCATCGCCCAGCTCGACGTCCGACGTATCGGGAACGTCAACCGGCGCGTCCGTCCACTGCAAGTCAAGACCAGTGCCCGACCCAGTCTCTGACGTCTCCGTAGCGTCTGTCGGCGTACTCGTCTCATCCAAGTCCAGCCCAGCGATCGACCCAGAACCTGGTGTCGGTAGAGCATCCGTCGGCGCGTTCGTCCACTGCAAGTCATTTGCATCGCCCAGCTCGACGTCCGACGTATCGGGAACGTCAACCGGCGCGTCCGTCCACTGCAAGTCAAGACCAGTGCCCGACCCAGTCTCTGACGTCTCCGTAGCGTCTGTCGGCGTACTCGTCTCATCCAAGTCCAGCCCAGCGATCGACCCAGAACCTGGTGTCGGTAGAGCATCCGTCGGCGCGTTCGTCCACTGCAAGTCATTTGCATCGCCCAGCTCGACGTCCGACGTATCGGGAACGTCAACCGGCGCGTCCGTCCACTGCAAGTCAAGACCAGTGCCCGACCCAGTCTCTGACGTCTCCGTAGCGTCTGTCGGCGTACTCGTCTCATCCAAGTCCAGCCCAGCGATCGACCCAGAACCTGGTGTCGGTAGAGCATCCGTCGGCGCGTTCGTCCACTGCAAGTCATTTGCATCGCCCAGCTCGACGTCCGACGTATCGGGAACGTCAACCGGCGCGTCCGTCCACTGCAAGTCAAGACCAGTGCCCGACCCAGTCTCTGACGTCTCCGTAGCGTCTGTCGGCGTACTCGTCTCATCCAAGTCCAGCCCAGCGATCGACCCAGAACCTGGTGTCGGTAGAGCATCCGTCGGCGCGTTCGTCCACTGCAAGTCATTTGCATCGCCCAGCTCGACGTCCGACGTATCGGGAACGTCAACCGGCGCGTCCGTCCACTGCAAGTCAAGACCAGTGCCCGACCCAGTCTCTGACGTCTCCGTAGCGTCTGTCGGCGTACTCGTCTCATCCAAGTCCAGCCCAGCGATCGACCCAGAACCTGGTGTCGGTAGAGCATCCGTCGGCGCGTTCGTCCACTGCAAGTCATTTGCATCGCCCAGCTCGACGTCCGACGTATCGGGAACGTCAACCGGCGCGTCCGTCCACTGGAAGTCAAGACCAGTGCCCGACCCAGTCTCTGACGTCTCCGTAGCATCCGTCGGCGTACTCGTCTCATCCAAGTCCAGCCCAGCGATCGACCCAGAACCTGGTGTCGGTAGAGCATCCGTCGGCGCGTTCGTCCACTGCAAGTCATTTGCATCGCCCAGCTCGACGTCCGACGTATCGGGAACGTCAACCGGCGCGTCCGTCCACTGCAAGTCAAGACCAGTGCCCGACCCAGTCTCTGACGTCTCCGTAGCGTCTGTCGGCGTACTCGTCTCATCCAAGTCCAGCCCAGCGATCGACCCAGAACCTGGTGTCGGTAGAGCATCCGTCGGCGCGTTCGTCCACTGCAAGTCATTTGCATCGCCCAGCTCGACGTCCGACGTATCGGGAACGTCAACCGGCGCGTCCGTCCACTGCAAGTCAAGACCAGTGCCCGACCCAGTCTCTGACGTCTCCGTAGCGTCTGTCGGCGTACTCGTCTCATCCAAGTCCAGCCCAGCGATCGACCCAGAACCTGGTGTCGGTAGAGCATCCGTCGGCGCGTTCGTCCACTGCAAGTCATTTGCATCGCCCAGCTCGACGTCCGACGTATCGGGAACGTCAACCGGCGCGTCCGTCCACTGCAAGTCAAGACCAGTGCCCGACCCAGTCTCTGACGTCTCCGTAGCGTCTGTCGGCGTACTCGTCTCATCCAAGTCCAGCCCAGCGATCGACCCAGAACCTGGTGTCGGTAGAGCATCCGTCGGCGCGTTCGTCCACTGCAAGTCATTTGCATCGCCCAGCTCGACGTCCGACGTATCGGGAACGTCAACCGGCGCGTCCGTCCACTGCAAGTCAAGACCAGTGCCCGACCCAGTCTCTGACGTCTCCGTAGCGTCTGTCGGCGTACTCGTCTCATCCAAGTCCAGCCCAGCGATCGACCCAGAACCTGGTGTCGGTAGAGCATCCGTCGGCGCGTTCGTCCACTGCAAGTCATTTGCATCGCCCAGCTCGACGTCCGACGTATCGGGAACGTCAACCGGCGCGTCCGTCCACTGCAAGTCAAGACCAGTGCCCGACCCAGTCTCTGACGTCTCCGTAGCGTCTGTCGGCGTACTCGTCTCATCCAAGTCCAGCCCAGCGATCGACCCAGAACCTGGTGTCGGTAGAGCATCCGTCGGCGCGTTCGTCCACTGCAAGTCATTTGCATCGCCCAGCTCGACGTCCGACGTATCGGGAACGTCAACCGGCGCGTCCGTCCACTGCAAGTCAAGACCAGTGCCCGACCCAGTCTCTGACGTCTCCGTAGCGTCTGTCGGCGTACTCGTCTCATCCAAGTCCAGCCCAGCGATCGACCCAGAACCTGGTGTCGGTAGAGCATCCGTCGGCGCGTTCGTCCACTGCAAGTCATTTGCATCGCCCAGCTCGACGTCCGACGTATCGGGAACGTCAACCGGCGCGTCCGTCCACTGCAAGTCAAGACCAGTGCCCGACCCAGTCTCTGACGTCTCCGTAGCGTCTGTCGGCGTACTCGTCTCATCCAAGTCCAGCCCAGCGATCGACCCAGAACCTGGTGTCGGTAGAGCATCCGTCGGCGCGTTCGTCCACTGCAAGTCATTTGCATCGCCCAGCTCGACGTCCGACGTATCGGGAACGTCAACCGGCGCGTCCGTCCACTGCAAGTCAAGACCAGTGCCCGACCCAGTCTCTGACGTCTCCGTAGCGTCTGTCGGCGTACTCGTCTCATCCAAGTCCAGCCCAGCGATCGACCCAGAACCTGGTGTCGGTAGAGCATCCGTCGGCGCGTTCGTCCACTGCAAGTCATTTGCATCGCCCAGCTCGACGTCCGACGTATCGGGAACGTCAACCGGCGCGTCCGTCCACTGCAAGTCAAGACCAGTGCCCGACCCAGCCTCTGACGTCTCCGTAGCGTCTGTCGGCGTACTCGTCTCATCCAAGTCCAGCCCAGCGATCGACCCAGAACCTGGTGTCGGTAGAGCATCCGTCGGCGCGTTCGTCCACTGCAAGTCATTTGCATCGCCCAGCTCGACGTCCGACGTATCGGGAACGTCAACCGGCGCGTCCGTCCACTGCAAGTCAAGACCAGTGCCCGACCCAGCCTCTGACGTCTCCGTAGCGTCTGTCGGCGTACTCGTCTCATCCAAGTCCAGCCCAGCGATCGACCCAGAACCTGGTGTCGGTAGAGCATCCGTCGGCGCGTTCGTCCACTGCAAGTCATTTGCATCGCCCAGCTCGACGTCCGACGTATCGGGAACGTCAACCGGCGCGTCCGTCCACTGCAAGTCAAGACCAGTGCCCGACCCAGTCTCTGACGTCTCCGTAGCGTCTGTCGGCGTACTCGTCTCATCCAAGTCCAGCCCAGCGATCGACCCAGAACCTGGTGTCGGTAGAGCATCCGTCGGCGCGTTCGTCCACTGCAAGTCATTTGCATCGCCCAGCTCGACGTCCGACGTATCGGGAACGTCAACCGGCGCGTCCGTCCACTGCAAGTCAAGACCAGTGCCCGACCCAGTCTCTGACGTCTCCGTAGCGTCTGTCGGCGTACTCGTCTCATCCAAGTCCAGCCCAGCGATCGACCCAGAACCTGGTGTCGGTAGAGCATCCGTCGGCGCGTTCGTCCACTGCAAGTCATTTGCATCGCCCAGCTCGACGTCCGACGTATCGGGAACGTCAACCGGCGCGTCCGTCCACTGCAAGTCAAGACCAGTGCCCGACCCAGTCTCTGACGTCTCCGTAGCGTCTGTCGGCGTACTCGTCTCATCCAAGTCCAGCCCAGCGATCGACCCAGAACCTGGTGTCGGTAGAGCATCCGTCGGCGCGTTCGTCCACTGCAAGTCATTTGCATCGCCCAGCTCGACGTCCGACGTATCGGGAACGTCAACCGGCGCGTCCGTCCACTGCAAGTCAAGACCAGTGCCCGACCCAGTCTCTGACGTCTCCGTAGCGTCTGTCGGCGTACTCGTCTCATCCAAGTCCAGCCCAGCGATCGACCCAGAACCTGGTGTCGGTAGAGCATCCGTCGGCGCGTTCGTCCACTGCAAGTCATTTGCATCGCCCAGCTCGACGTCCGACGTATCGGGAACGTCAACCGGCGCGTCCGTCCACTGCAAGTCAAGACCAGTGCCCGACCCAGTCTCTGACGTCTCCGTAGCGTCTGTCGGCGTACTCGTCTCATCCAAGTCCAGCCCAGCGATCGACCCAGAACCTGGTGTCGGTAGAGCATCCGTCGGCGCGTTCGTCCACTGCAAGTCATTTGCATCGCCCAGCTCGACGTCCGACGTATCGGGAACGTCAACCGGCGCGTCCGTCCACTGCAAGTCAAGACCAGTGCCCGACCCAGTCTCTGACGTCTCCGTAGCGTCTGTCGGCGTACTCGTCTCATCCAAGTCCAGCCCAGCGATCGACCCAGAACCTGGTGTCGGTAGAGCATCCGTCGGCGCGTTCGTCCACTGCAAGTCATTTGCATCGCCCAGCTCGACGTCCGACGTATCGGGAACGTCAACCGGCGCGTCCGTCCACTGCAAGTCAAGACCAGTGCCCGACCCAGTCTCTGACGTCTCCGTAGCGTCTGTCGGCGTACTCGTCTCATCCAAGTCCAGCCCAGCGATCGACCCAGAACCTGGTGTCGGTAGAGCATCCGTCGGCGCGTTCGTCCACTGCAAGTCATTTGCATCGCCCAGCTCGACGTCCGACGTATCGGGAACGTCAACCGGCGCGTCCGTCCACTGCAAGTCAAGACCAGTGCCCGACCCAGTCTCTGACGTCTCCGTAGCGTCTGTCGGCGTACTCGTCTCATCCAAGTCCAGCCCAGCGATCGACCCAGAACCTGGTGTCGGTAGAGCATCCGTCGGCGCGTTCGTCCACTGCAAGTCATTTGCATCGCCCAGCTCGACGTCCGACGTATCGGGAACGTCAACCGGCGCGTCCGTCCACTGCAAGTCAAGACCAGTGCCCGACCCAGTCTCTGACGTCTCCGTAGCGTCTGTCGGCGTACTCGTCTCATCCAAGTCCAGCCCAGCGATCGACCCAGAACCTGGTGTCGGTAGAGCATCCGTCGGCGCGTTCGTCCACTGCAAGTCATTTGCATCGCCCAGCTCGACGTCCGACGTATCGGGAACGTCAACCGGCGCGTCCGTCCACTGCAAGTCAAGACCAGTGCCCGACCCAGTCTCTGACGTCTCCGTAGCGTCTGTCGGCGTACTCGTCTCATCCAAGTCCAGCCCAGCGATCGACCCAGAACCTGGTGTCGGTAGAGCATCCGTCGGCGCGTTCGTCCACTGCAAGTCATTTGCATCGCCCAGCTCGACGTCCGACGTATCGGGAACGTCAACCGGCGCGTCCGTCCACTGCAAGTCAAGACCAGTGCCCGACCCAGTCTCTGACGTCTCCGTAGCGTCTGTCGGCGTACTCGTCTCATCCAAGTCCAGCCCAGCGATCGACCCAGAACCTGGTGTCGGTAGAGCATCCGTCGGCGCGTTCGTCCACTGCAAGTCATTTGCATCGCCCAGCTCGACGTCCGACGTATCGGGAACGTCAACCGGCGCGTCCGTCCACTGCAAGTCAAGACCAGTGCCCGACCCAGTCTCTGACGTCTCCGTAGCGTCTGTCGGCGTACTCGTCTCATCCAAGTCCAGCCCAGCGATCGACCCAGAACCTGGTGTCGGTAGAGCATCCGTCGGCGCGTTCGTCCACTGCAAGTCATTTGCATCGCCCAGCTCGACGTCCGACGTATCGGGAACGTCAACCGGCGCGTCCGTCCACTGCAAGTCAAGACCAGTGCCCGACCCAGTCTCTGACGTCTCCGTAGCGTCTGTCGGCGTACTCGTCTCATCCAAGTCCAGCCCAGCGATCGACCCAGAACCTGGTGTCGGTAGAGCATCCGTCGGCGCGTTCGTCCACTGCAAGTCATTTGCATCGCCCAGCTCGACGTCCGACGTATCGGGAACGTCAACCGGCGCGTCCGTCCACTGCAAGTCAAGACCAGTGCCCGACCCAGTCTCTGACGTCTCCGTAGCGTCTGTCGGCGTACTCGTCTCATCCAAGTCCAGCCCAGCGATCGACCCAGAACCTGGTGTCGGTAGAGCATCCGTCGGCGCGTTCGTCCACTGCAAGTCATTTGCATCGCCCAGCTCGACGTCCGACGTATCGGGAACGTCAACCGGCGCGTCCGTCCACTGCAAGTCAAGACCAGTGCCCGACCCAGTCTCTGACGTCTCCGTAGCGTCTGTCGGCGTACTCGTCTCATCCAAGTCCAGCCCAGCGATCGACCCAGAACCTGGTGTCGGTAGAGCATCCGTCGGCGCGTTCGTCCACTGCAAGTCATTTGCATCGCCCAGCTCGACGTCCGACGTATCGGGAACGTCAACCGGCGCGTCCGTCCACTGCAAGTCAAGACCAGTGCCCGACCCAGTCTCTGACGTCTCCGTAGCGTCTGTCGGCGTACTCGTCTCATCCAAGTCCAGCCCAGCGATCGACCCAGAACCTGGTGTCGGTAGAGCATCCGTCGGCGCGTTCGTCCACTGCAAGTCATTTGCATCGCCCAGCTCGACGTCCGACGTATCGGGAACGTCAACCGGCGCGTCCGTCCACTGCAAGTCAAGACCAGTGCCCGACCCAGTCTCTGACGTCTCCGTAGCGTCTGTCGGCGTACTCGTCTCATCCAAGTCCAGCCCAGCGATCGACCCAGAACCTGGTGTCGGTAGAGCATCCGTCGGCGCGTTCGTCCACTGCAAGTCATTTGCATCGCCCAGCTCGACGTCCGACGTATCGGGAACGTCAACCGGCGCGTCCGTCCACTGCAAGTCAAGACCAGTGCCCGACCCAGTCTCTGACGTCTCCGTAGCGTCTGTCGGCGTACTCGTCTCATCCAAGTCCAGCCCAGCGATCGACCCAGAACCTGGTGTCGGTAGAGCATCCGTCGGCGCGTTCGTCCACTGCAAGTCATTTGCATCGCCCAGCTCGACGTCCGACGTATCGGGAACGTCAACCGGCGCGTCCGTCCACTGCAAGTCAAGACCAGTGCCCGACCCAGTCTCTGACGTCTCCGTAGCGTCTGTCGGCGTACTCGTCTCATCCAAGTCCAGCCCAGCGATCGACCCAGAACCTGGTGTCGGTAGAGCATCCGTCGGCGCGTTCGTCCACTGCAAGTCATTTGCATCGCCCAGCTCGACGTCCGACGTATCGGGAACGTCAACCGGCGCGTCCGTCCACTGCAAGTCAAGACCAGTGCCCGACCCAGTCTCTGACGTCTCCGTAGCGTCTGTCGGCGTACTCGTCTCATCCAAGTCCAGCCCAGCGATCGACCCAGAACCTGGTGTCGGTAGAGCATCCGTCGGCGCGTTCGTCCACTGCAAGTCATTTGCATCGCCCAGCTCGACGTCCGACGTATCGGGAACGTCAACCGGCGCGTCCGTCCACTGCAAGTCAAGACCAGTGCCCGACCCAGTCTCTGACGTCTCCGTAGCGTCTGTCGGCGTACTCGTCTCATCCAAGTCCAGCCCAGCGATCGACCCAGAACCTGGTGTCGGTAGAGCATCCGTCGGCGCGTTCGTCCACTGCAAGTCATTTGCATCGCCCAGCTCGACGTCCGACGTATCGGGAACGTCAACCGGCGCGTCCGTCCACTGCAAGTCAAGACCAGTGCCCGACCCAGTCTCTGACGTCTCCGTAGCGTCTGTCGGCGTACTCGTCTCATCCAAGTCCAGCCCAGCGATCGACCCAGAACCTGGTGTCGGTAGAGCATCCGTCGGCGCGTTCGTCCACTGCAAGTCATTTGCATCGCCCAGCTCGACGTCCGACGTATCGGGAACGTCAACCGGCGCGTCCGTCCACTGCAAGTCAAGACCAGTGCCCGACCCAGTCTCTGACGTCTCCGTAGCGTCTGTCGGCGTACTCGTCTCATCCAAGTCCAGCCCAGCGATCGACCCAGAACCTGGTGTCGGTAGAGCATCCGTCGGCGCGTTCGTCCACTGCAAGTCATTTGCATCGCCCAGCTCGACGTCCGACGTATCGGGAACGTCAACCGGCGCGTCCGTCCACTGCAAGTCAAGACCAGTGCCCGACCCAGTCTCTGACGTCTCCGTAGCGTCTGTCGGCGTACTCGTCTCATCCAAGTCCAGCCCAGCGATCGACCCAGAACCTGGTGTCGGTAGAGCATCCGTCGGCGCGTCCGTCCACTGCAAGTCAAGACCAGTGCCCGACCCAGTCTCTGACGTCTCCGTAGCATCCGTCGACGTACTCGTCTCATCCAAGTCCAGCCCAGCGATCGACCCAGAACCTGGTGTCGGTAGAGCATCCGTCGGCGCGTTTGTCCACTGCAAGTCATTTACACTTGTCGAGCTCGAACCAGACTTCGACGACTCTAATGCATTTGGTGGCGTATTTGTCCACTGCACGCCAGGGTGATCATCCGACCCGGTATGTGCCGTCGGTAGAGCATTGATCGGCGCGTTCGTCCACTGCAAGTCATTTACACTGCTCGAACCTGACCCCGACGACTTTATTTTATCTGTTGGCGCCTCCGTCCATGGCGGTGCGGGGTGATCATCCGACTCAGAATGTGACGCCGACAGAGCTCCCAACGGCGCGTTTGTCCACTGCAAGTCATTTCCACTTCTCGAACCAGACCCCGACGACTCTAATGCATTTGGTGGCGTATTTGTCCACTGCACGCCAGGGTGATCATCCGACCCGGTATGTGCCTTCGGTAGAGCATTGATCGGCGCGTTCGTCCACTGCAAGTCATTTACACTGCTCGAACCTGACCCCGACGACTCTAATGCATTTGTTGGCGCCTCCGTCCATGGCGGTGCGGGGTGATCATCCGACTCAGAATGTGACGCCGATAGAGCTCCCAACGGCGCGTTTGTCCACTGCAAGTCATTTACACTTGTCGAGCTCGAACCAGACCTCGACGACTCTAATGCATTTGGTGGCGTATTTGTCCACTGCACGCCAGGGTGATCATCCGACCCGGTATGTGCTGTCGGTAGAGCATCGACCGGCGCGTTCGTCCACTGCAAGTCATTTAAACTACTCGAGCCTGACCCCGACGACTTCAATGCATCCGTTAGCGCATCCGTCCATGGCGGTCCGAGGTGATCATCCAACTCAGAATGTGACGTCTGTAAAGCATCAATCGGTGCATCTGTCCACGGCGGCTGGTATGTCGATGCGTCGGTCATTGTTGCCGCGTTGGCGCTTCCGTCAGCGGCAAGTCGTGTTGTTGTTACCAGCCCCGGACTCATCCCGTTGGTCGTGGCAGCGGGCGCACCGTCAATAAGATTCGTCTGCCAGGTCCTCTCCTCGAGATGTCGCGAGTCACTGAACCGGGCGGCTGTCGTGCCACAGACAACGACGGCGACGACGACGACGACGAGTTCCGACGGACGCGGTCGTCGTCTCGATCTCCACTGCGGTCGTCGCTCCATGCTGTCCAATAAATAGGGTCAGTGCGCGTAACTATCGTACTCTTGTGCGCGCGGCGTCTCCCTCTCGCTCCGTGTCGATCGGGTTATCAATCAGTCTATCGATTCGCAGGTCGATCAATGTCCGCCCACGTCTGTCGCTCCTCCTGTTGTGGTGGTGGTACTACTACTGCTACTACTGCTACTGCTGCTGCTGCTGCTGCTGCGCTTGCAATAGGAAGAGGTACGGCGTGGCCTATGACGGGAGTGAGTACACAAAGACCGCAGTACCGTTAGAGCACTTCCTCTGGTCAGGTCCGTGTTCCGCGCTCGAAAAGCGACGGACTGACTGCACTGCCTCTACGGAAACGGCTGTTGAGCCTTCTGCTACGAGAGTGCTGCCATTGGTTGAGTGCCGTCAGGGGAGGGGGCGGCTGGACGAATCAAAAGGTCGAAGCTGTGCAGACGAGACGAGACGAGCAACGAGACGGACGACATGCAAACAGCGACGAGATCGTTGCACGACATGGAGGCATTACGCGGCAGCTATTGATATGGTCACTAGATTGGGACTACTTACGTTTCGAGTCGATAGCTCATGCGCAGACAGTATGAACGCCGTCGAGCGGGACGATGGCATGCGCGTCGGGTGATTGGAGTGTCCGATGGACGCTGCAGCGACTGCAACAGACACTGTTTCCCGCTCGCTCGCTCGTGCGAACGGTTGTCAATGTCACAAGGGCCGACTAGCGCTGTATGGAAAAGTGATGGCAACGATCGATCCTCACCACTGCCACTGTTTTTACCACTTTCATTGGTATCATTGTCATTGTCCCATCGAGTTCGTGTCACGAAGAACGCGGCAGTTGTTCAATCGGTAGTATGTCCGCTTCGGCCGATGACGGAAGCAGTGGTCGCTCGGGTCGTGCAGCTCGACACTCGCTTGTCGCCTGTTTCTGCACACACAGCAAACACAGAGCCACTAAAGCCGTACGGGCGTGTAGTCAGTTTGTCATCAGATCGTACAACTGTCTCCGCAACGTGGACAAAAACCGGTGCTCGAGGTGTCACGGGGTAGTGTTCCGAGCCGACCAGACCGAGAAACTGAGACAGAAAGCGAGAGAGCGTTTTTGACTGACTGCATTTGCAAGTCGGGATGTGGTAACCTGTCGACAAACTTGATCCAAAAAACGCACATCCGGCGTCTCAGACGTGCGTGACGGACCTCTGGAGAGCAGTGGAGCGGCGACGTGTGCGCGTGGGACAAAGACCGACGTATTGTTGCCAAGTCCCATGCGAGTCTATCGCTCCAGCGCAATCAGTGCATCGCTGTTGTTTACGCAGCAGGGGGAACGAACGGCGAGGAACATCTCGACAGGTTGTCAAGCTGAAGCACATGTGGTCGCTGAAGCGATGACGCGTGGTGCAGGGACGCCACGAGCCGCAGTGTCTGCACGTCGCCGGCTGTTTACACGGTGGGCGTCTCGGGCATGCGCGTGGCATAGCCTCATCAGCTTCAGCTTCGGCAAGAATGGTTCTCGGCGAAAGAGGCTGCTTGAGATGAGGGACTGAGGTGCAGATTGGCTTGAGCTGGAGCGTATGAAGCTGAGAGCGACTGGATGGAAACGGACCAGTGCTCTCGATTGGCACAACGTGCGTGGTCTAGCACGGCCGATCTTCTTGACGGACGGACCGCCGCCTCATTGGCGGGACTCTGCTTTCGAACCCGATCTTGTGCGTGCGAGCCATCTGCTGCTGCTGAAACTGCATCTCGCGATCGAAAACCCGCCATCGACTGCTCGACAGACACCATGTCGAACGCTTGCATGGAGTTGAGCAACGGGGACGAAGACGGAGGTTTGTTGAGCTGCACGGACGCACCCACAGATCTTTCGGCAGTGTGGTACAGTGCACAGACTGGCTGAAGTCATCGTGACTCAGTCTGCTGTCGATAATGACAACCATGGACTCGCTGGCTCACAAGTCCGACTCGGCGTTTGTGGATCATCCTTGATCACATAGTTGCTGTAAAGACGCAACAGCCACGCAGATATCTGTACGAAGCCAATGATGAGCTAGCACGAACCAGCACAGTCTGACAATCGGGTCTAAAGGCAAGTGCAAGCATGAGCCACTGGCATGCGATCTGGTTTTGACGCGGCGTGCTGGGTTCGGAGATGCAAAAGCCACGCAGCCAATGCGTAGGGTCATGAGCAGCTCTGGAGTGACTGAGAACCACAAGGTATACGCCATGTCAAACTGTGCTGGCAGGAGTGGTCCCTATCAGTTGTTGTGCCGCTGATGAACCTTTGACGGATTCTTCGTCCTTGGAAAGGATCGACCTCACAGCATTTGTTGGACAGGGTCACTCACTCTGCAACAAATTGCGTGCTGAGTCAACGCCTGCGCACCTGGCTGGGAGAGCGCAAAGTACCGATTTCATACACAATCAGTGCAAGTGAATTGCGATGGACACGCAACGAACACAGTGAAAACGCAATGGAGACGTAGGTCAACGACGTGTAGATACCCAGGTCCTCGGACAAGTCCAGAGCCCGCTTTGTCTACAATTGGCCAGCCATGTCAGTACGAAGAAGATTGCTAGAACGAAGACACCACCACCACCACAAAATCATGATACACGGACGTTACAGTGCCGTTTTCCTGTCTCACTGTGTCGGACGGCACGACACGAGGCGTGGAACTCGAGGATTGTTTCTTGGCGACAAGACGACTGACTGTCTATTTGCCGAACATACGCTACAATCGGATGAGACAGAGTCGTAGTGTGTTGTCGGTTGTGCTGTCGTCGCTTTGGTATAACACATTGCTCAAACACTCTGCCTGGCATCCGCAAGTGAGGCAGAGCAGCCGCGTTTGGGTTGTTCGAATTGCGCCAGTCCATGTTTCAGAGACTTGACTTGTGCATCATTTGCAGCATACGCTGAAACACGGTGGGTGGTTTGTAGGGAGGCAACGACTCAGCTGTAGTTTCTTTTTCTCATAGAGGCCACACAATAGATGCGACGCCGAGTAGCACGCAGTCATGCTCAACGACAGTCTCCGAGTGTGTGCGTCTAGTGTGCGATAAGACTCATAGCAGGTGCTTTGTAGAGTAACCGCTTGTGGCACAAAGTGCAAAGCTGAAGACGTCGTAACAACAGGAAAAGGCGGAGAAATGTAGTTTTAGTAGATAGTCGCAACAACGCTGCGCGAAGTAGCGTACTTTCGTGGGCAATACAGCAAACGTTGCTATCGCTCTCCTTTAGCACCGACTGCTGCTGAGGTGTCGGATGCTGACGATCATGGCTCCAATCACGCATGCGAGGAGTCAAGTCAAGTGCGAGGCGTATCATCCTGACAAGCTCTGCTGAGGGATAGTATAGTCGAGAGCCACATGCTGTCTTCGCTCTCAAGACGACGACGGTACCTCACTCTTGAGCCACGCAACCAGCTTTCACGTTTTCGGTCAGCCCGTAGGGTTAGCAAGGTCAGAAGGCAGTTGATATCACCATCAGCGGATCTCCTCTGAGCTTCCCCTGTACACGCTTACGACCTACTATATCCCGTCACCCGGCAACAAGGTTACCGGGGTGACATGCTACTTTATATACTAGGTAGCACTAGGTCTCGAACATCAGAACGCCTGCGCGCAGACTCCTGTCGCGAGATGATCAGGGTCCTCGGTGTCAGTACGGGGCCCTGTAGGACGTATTGTTCGGCTTGAGAGGTCTTCAACCAATGATTGACATCAGAATCAAGGAAGGTCGTGGCCTCCTGGACTAGAACGGGGTTAGAAGAAGCGTGCGCTTACACCGAAGCTCCTGTGTCCATAGCGATATTCGCCAGTCGATCCGCCATTTTGTTGTAGGTGCGATAATGATGTCCCCAGCTGGAGACATGGATATCGTTAGCGATGGCGCTTGCTTCGGTGAATAACTGCACCAAGTGTTGCTTGCGTGGAGGATGTCGTGTTCGGAGTTGCGCAAGCACAAGGGCACTGTCCCCAATGACATGCAAGGGTAAGTAGTCGCTGGCCTTTGCTCGCCGAAGACCGTGGACGAGCCCCCAGTATTCAGCGATATTGTTAGTAGTATCGGCAGAGGCATAGGCCACGCTCGCTACCCACAAAACGCATGCGGCGTGCGTCGGAACGTGGAGTCGGACAATAACAGATCCAGCTCCGCCTGGACCTGGATTTCCGCGGGATCCTCCATCGAAAAAGAGGAGGTAGAGCACTCCTGGGCACCGTTCGATAGGACGTACGTGCAGCAAAGGAGGTTCGTCGTAGCAGAGGAGGGTATCAGCCAAGGCCGACCGTACCTGCGCAAACAGTTGCCCGTCCTCCCCCATGTCGGGCTGGTTGGTTGATCCACGAAACCTTTGAACCGACCGGCGAAAGATAGTCTTGGCCCTAGCTGTGTGAACATCCTGTGATAGAGACGGGCCTTCCATGCGGCGGAGGCGCTCGACCCAGATGGCATGAAGTGTCGTTGATACGACAAAACGCCACAGCTCTCGAGCTGCCGGGAAGACCGCAGCCTGAGCTTTCAATAAATCTGCCCCTGTGTTCATAGATTGCTTGACAACAACCCAGGCGTTGGGCGGAATCCCCGGGAGGTCCAGTCCAAACTCCCAGACATGCAAGTCATCCTCCTCGGAAAGTACCAAGCCATCGCCACCGATCAAGGAGGTATTTCCAGTGTCGACGCGCGCTAGGGCATGTCCAAAAGATATGTCTTGCCAGAGCTGGACCAGCATCCACACACTCAGGGACG